ATCAGTTCAGGTTGCCATGCCCCTTCAGCACAGAGACGCAATTGTCAGTTTGAATCCAACAGTGATAGCAATAATAGAAGTATTAGCAGTAATGGAGAAGATTAGAGGGCGAAGATATGATTCAAGAGGTATAATTCAGTAAGATAAATTTAGAAGGAGAAAGGTAGAGATTGTAAGGAATGCCGAAGCTTAGAATTTCATAGAACACAAAGAGTGGATGCACTTGCGCCATTGCAAACGATTCTGAGCCATGTCATTCAAGGTCGCTAACCATCGGTGACTATCGTCTCGCGGACCTTAACCAGGTAGCCTATATCTACCAACATGACTCAGTACACTTGTCAGTGACTTCATGCATTTGTGCCATGTTTTGGTTTTGCCGCCCCTAGCTTTCTTCCAATCTACTTCTATACCGCAAAACAGCTCGTCGCGGCAATCGGTGGTTGGACATACGTAACACATGTCTCAACCACCTCAACTGATGAAGTTTCACTGCTTCATCTATTGATTTGCCATCCCTACCTCGTACTCGTTTCCTAACGACAGCATTGCTTATACGGTTGTTCGACTACTTCACTCCCTATCACTAGTTTAGGTGCCGATGCAACCCACTCTCGAACCGACATTTTGCATTTCGAGAGAGAAAACCAGGTCCCGAACATGCTTGCATTGTTGCTTAGGGTGGTCAGAAGATTGCATTTTGTCAGCGTCTTCACCAAGTAGGACCATGTCATCGGCATATTCTAAGTTAATAAGCGAGCCTCCTGGTAAAACGTCTACTCCTGAAATTCAGACGAGGATAATGTTATATCTAAGAGCATGTCTACGATAAAATTAAACAAGAATGGAGAGAGTGGACTTCCCCGATGGAAACCACATGAAGCGAAAAATTCCGGTGACAGTTCGCCATAAGCTCTCACTCAACCAGTAGTGTTCGAGTAGAGAGCTTGTATAAGGTTAATGTACTTCTGTGGTACACCTTTCAATGACAGACATTGCCACAGAACCTCACGATCCACTAAGTCAAATGCAGCTTTCAGGTCCAGGAAGACTACTATTGTAGGACGCTTAAATGTGTGTCTGTGTTCCATTACCTGTCGTAGTGTGAAGATGTGGTCTATACAACCACGTCCAGGTCGAAAACCAGCCTGGTTTTCTCGAGTATGCTATTCCCGAGCACTAGTATCATTGAGGCTAACAATTTAGAAACTATATTAGTTAGACTTATTCCTCTGTGATTGTCACAAGAAGACTTTTGTCCTTTCTTATAGATTGGGACAATCAGTGATTGAGACCAGTCGGATGGGATTACGTCCATTTCCCAGATTCTACCTAAGATCTCAGTCAATCTAGCTGCTAAAACTGGACCACCATCCTTAAATATCTCAGGGGTCAGTCTATCAGGACCTGCAGCTCGACCTCGCTTCAGATTTACTAACGCTTTTTCAACTTCATTAAGACTAGGGGGACTTACGTCGATTTGCCATTCAGGATGACTGGAGATCTTGGGTAACCGAAGAGTGGCTCGAGGCCAGTTGAACTGATCTCTAAAGTGTTCTGCCCATCGATCCAGTCTCCTGGATTGAGAATGGATAATAGTCCCATCATTTTCCGAGACAGTCTCACTTACAGTGGGATTCCTAATACCAGTTTCCTTGATAAGTCGGAAAAGTTGTCTAGTGTTGCCTATCGCCGCTGCCTTTTCCACCCACCACTGTTCACGGTCGTTACGTAGACTTTTAATCAGTCTGCGCCTAAGCTGACTTCCCTCTTCGTCATGTTCAGAGTCAGGTGGGATGCGTTCTCGAGCATTCATCAGTTCGGTGGATGCTACTGAATTCCACGGCTTCTTCCCAGACTTATGGTTTACCTTACAAGCAGATATCACTGCTGTTTCCACAGCCTTTTTGATATCATTTCGGGCTGCCTCCGGATGGGAATCACTTGCATGGTCGCCTAACTGTTTTTCTAGTTCCTCCTGAAATATTTTCTTAGCTTGATTATCATTAAGTAAAGCCCTAAGAGGCTTCCTTGCGATGTCTTTCCTACGCCCAGTAAGCCTCAAACAAATACGCGCTCGTACTAGGGCATGATCTGAATCTAAACATGTGCCCGAGAACGAGCGACAGTCCTCTATCGAACCTCTCCATCGGTGGCTGATGGCGATATGATCCAGTTGCGTCCAACGTTGAGACGACTTTGGGGGCCGCCATTTCAAAAGATGTTTGTCCTTATGCTTAAAATTAGTGTTTGCCAGATATAGTTGGTTTTCTGAGCATTCTTGCAACAGACGTTCGTCAATGTCTGTTCTATTAGCCGCGACACCATAACATCCACCAAGGTGTCTTTCCTGCTCACTCCATCTACCTACTTGAGCAATAAAGTCACCAGCCATTATAACTATATCAGAGCGTTTAACTTTCTGGAGGAGGTCCGAAAGCTTTCTGTATAACTCATCTTTTACATCGTCTGAACTGCAGTCAGTGGGGGCACAGGCAGATACGACGAAGAGGCAACGGCGAGTGCCCCCGTCTTTCCGAATCCTTACTGACCCGTTCAGTCGGACAGCGCACAAACGACTATTTACTGGGATCCTGGCTAGGAGCGCTAGTTCTGCCCTACGACTCACCTTACTGCTGTCACACCCTTCTGCAGTCAGCAGTACGACTTCGCCCTCAGACCTTGGGTATCTGCTTTTACTCTCATCGATCTTCAATCGACCTTCCTGTCATGGTAGAACCTTCAGGAACATATGTTCCAGCCAGTATGGCTCAGCTGGGTCATCACGATAGTCAAGCTCGACCACCACGTCAAGGTAGCAGCTTCGGTCTGGGTCCTCAATAGACCCTCTATATCAATCGCGATGTGATCTATTTGGGTCAGCTTTAAGGATCGCCAGGTCAATATATGTTTCTCCTTATGCTCAAAGTTAGTTTTTGTTAGAATAAGGTGGTTATCTGAGCATAGTTGCAGCAGACAGTCGCCATTATCTAACCTTTGAGCCGCGAAACCATAAGATCCATCCAGATGTCTTTCCTTATCACTTGGTCTACCTACTTGAGCATTGAAGTCACCAGCCGTTATTACTATGTCAGAGTGCCTAAATTTTTTTAGAGGAGGTCCGAAAGCTTTCTGTATAACTCATCTTTCACCTCGTCTGAACTTCAGTCAATGGGAGCGTAGGCACACACAAATATAATGGGTTTTGTGACCAGGTACATATTTAGTGTACTTGATTTAGTCAAATAATTAAGTATTTGTAGGATAAAATAAATAAAAATTTTAATTAATTTATTTGGTATTGCTATAACGGGATAAGCACTGAGTACAGCCCAAGTTTTGAATCGGTTCTGCCGAAAAATTATCAATTACATTTTGATTTAGTTACTAAATACTTAAATTAATATATCCTTATACTCCCTTAGTTCTAACCTTTCGTTTAATACATAAACTATTGTCACATATTTTACCTTTCTCAAGTAAACGTTAGCTAATTATGAATCTGTTATTTAGTTCTCTTCCTTTCACAGTGTAGAAATGCTCACATTGTAATTTCCTAATTATATTGATGTACAGTCATGACCTTATATATATTGTACAAGCTGAGTCTTAAGAGTGAACTGTACAAATAAAATATGTGTACCTGCTGCATTGTTATCTAACTTTAGAGAATCGGATCCGTAGAACAAAAATCGTCAAGTATTCACGTCTAAATATATACTTTGATAGTCACAGCAGATATAAACTATAAGAAGGAAACAATTGTAAATATATTCTGCTGTCTATGCTACTTCGAAAGTCTAAGGTTTGGATTATTAAAGGAATATTGATATTGGTGTAAGTTAATCTCTTATAAAGTTGACTCTGCATCTCACAAGTTTAGTGCCTAGGGTAGCTGTCCTATTACGCCTTATTTCCACCATACTTCTGACAGTTTGACAATTTAAATCAAAGTATACGGATAAAAATCTGTGGTACTGTATGAATCAATTAACATTTTGACCTACAAAGTATGTACGTTAAAAATAATCGCATTTGTTACTACTGTAAAATTTAAAAATATATTTTTTTATATCACAAATTCCATTCTAAAAAAATTTACCAAAATCAAACCACACATTATCCTTGGTTCTTTTCTTTTTAAGATTGTCTTGACCACATACTTTATTCTATTACATAATTAATCACTAAATGGATAAAACTAACGTACAGAACAGTACACTTCACAAAAATCATCAAATTTGTTAATTGGTTTAATATGATTACATTTTGTGAAAACGAAACATTTGTTAGATCACATGAGTCCATTCATTAACTAGTCTTTTTTAAATGCATTGTACTGTTCTTACATTCACTCATATTGGTTTTCTGAAATTTGGTAGGGTGAGTAAATGGAACATATTTGCTTAGGTGTCTAAGCCTCCTAGAATTTTATTACTCAGCCATACTTAACTGAATTTTTTTTCCAGTTCGATGTAAATTATCACCTTTTGCTTCAGCAATGATTTGTTCTATATTACTGTGTTCAGCTAAAATTCATTTTAATTGTTGGATGCACACTGTTGATGAGTCCCATACTACGACGAAACAACCGTCCTGTGCTTCCGAGTTTTCAATGATAGTTTACCTTTGATCAGTTCATGATTTCAATGAAATTCAACAAGTTCTACAACCTCCTAAACTGATAGAAAAAAAGTACACCTTAAAATAATATTGTTAGACTTTTAAACATCGTAATGCTGTTGTTATTCATACTTCAGACAGTTTGGCCTATAGTTTATTTGCTTATTTTTCACTAAAAGCTATCATTAACACCATCACTATTATACATGGTAATATATGCACGTGAAATAAGGCTTTAAAAATTTAGGGCGAAAAACTTATTAGTTCAACTGTTGTCTAGTGACGAAAATTTATTGGCACTGATTGTGTATGTGCATGTGTTCATTGTACACGTTGAAAAATTTACCATACTTTGCTTTTCTACTTTTCTTCTGAAGGTCAAATTATACTGTTTGGCACGAATGACGGTATTTATTACCTTGATTTAGTCAATTTAGCTGATGGTACATTAGAATTGGTAAGTGTGTTTTGATTCATATTTTTTTATCTTATAGTTTAGTTACGTAATTAATTGATTGATGTAATCATTGAATTTCCTGTTGTCTTGAATGCACTTGTATCTGTATTCATATAAATGCATTTATGTAATTATTACATGTTGAATTTAGGCGTATATTGGCGTACTTGACTGACATAAATTGTGGATCCAAACTAAGGTTTGGATTGAGGAATAACTGTTTAGGTAGGTTAGATACGCGTCTTGCCCAGTTGAAATCAAAACAAGTGATTGGGTAAATACGGTTCTAATATTCATCATAAATATAAATTTACATCATTACCTAAGCAATATTACCACTCAGTTATTCCACCAACAATTGTTTAATTATTCAAATCAACAGCAACAAATAAATGATATTTCTATCCCTCCTGGATAGATCAGATTCTTTCGAAAGATAATATTTGGTTGCTTTATAACACTGAGTGTTTCCTATTCTGGAAGAGTGCTTCAATCCACAATCAGAATGCACGATTCCAGTCAAAGTAAGCAAAACACTATCAAAAGAGGAACAAATCAATATGACTGTCGCCATAACTAAGTACCAGCTAAAACAACATCAATGCAGTTCAGAAAGAAACATAGAAACTCAGTGAAGGCAAAAGAAATAAAAACTATAATAAAATACAAATATTATCATCTCAAATGGAATCGAACTGACTCACAATCTGTCCAACTGAAGTAACCAATAAAGACAAATTGCAAATGTATACATGGAGGGATTTTCACAAACAAAGCCTTCAAAAATGGATTTTCACTGTTATTTTTTCTCTCACTGTACTAATCTGGAGTTTACCGAGTTGAACTAATACACATTCGTGTTATGCCTTATATTGTCTACTAACTACAATTTTTTGTACTCTCAATGACCAAATGTGATTTGTGTCAATAATGAATACAGCAATAACATTCAGTTGAATGGAATAAATGATAACCACATCTTAACTATGACTTATTGTCCTTAAACTTTATTCCATTTTTACTGTTTTGCATTTATTTTGTTGTTGTTACACAAACACAAATTTCAGTTGTAAACTGTTCAATAATTTAATTGTTGTTTATTAGTGATATTGTTTACACTATCCCATGACATTATCAATAACTAAACCAGGTAGAATGACAATACAAACTACACTGATAGTCTTTATTAGCATTTTACGTACATATAAACTTCTAGAACTGTATTGCTGGGTGATGCGGATTTGAACCTTTACAGGTACTCCCTTCTGACAAATGCTAACTAGAACGTAACATATATCCATGGTTTCTTGTTGGCTGCCTTTAACTATCTAATACCTCTATTTAAAGGCTTGTGTAAGAATTTTAATCTATTTCACACGTGTCCCTTAAGTAGTATAGAACCTTTCTATTCACCTCACTTATTGAATTTTTATTTAAATTAGATATCATATTATTTTAAATAACCAACCCGAACATGACTTTGTCTATGAGAGTAAAATTATGTCTAAATGGTTCTTTCGATTAGTCTTTACTTATCTGATTGTTCTAAGGGTTTGTGTATATATGTAGGATACATGTGTGTGCAAATGTGTTTCGATTCTTAGTTTAACATAGAATTCATTGATTTTCCACTCGTTTTTGTTTATGAACTACTTGGCTTCGGTAATTTTATGAACAAAAATTACAGTTGTTCATATCTATATTTCCATTTCATTGGGATTCAATCGATTTCGTTTTATTTTCCAAAGATCTAAATTTCATGTAAATTCAACAAACTTTTTTCCTAAGACCAAATGAAAATGGAGAATTCCAAAAAATGAATTCTCCTCACACTATTGGAAGATTCCTGATTGGATAAAGAAACGTGCCGGAAGTGAATGGATATCTTCTATCCACTATACTATTGTAGATGACTGTAGTTGAAAGTTGTAAAGGACAAATTTTTTTAAAAAAAAACAGTATTTTTCCGTTCAAGTTTCAACATCACAAAATGACGAAATATCATTTAAAAAATAAAATCGATCGAAAACTAGAAATAGAATAGAATCTAGGGAAGGAATAAAATTGGTTGTAGATAGCATACTCTGTCCAACAATTTTATAAAATGTAATGGATACATATACCTGCATCATTTTAATCGATTTTGTCCCGTATAACCAAAACTCTGTAATCGTTAACTACAATTTTTTCAAGATCCTTCTAGTGTACCCTAGTTCAACTAGTCAATGACTGTATAGACTGGTGTTGGCTTTATTTGTATTTTTTTGTATCATCATATCATTATAAGCAATATCATGACTTCGTTTCCTACCAGAGTTATTATTTCACCTACAGATAAATTTTTTATTTGTTGCTGGTTCTATAGACTATTGGCTTCTCGTACAAAATGAATATTTTACCATATAGAAACGGAGTGAATAAAGTTTCTTATGGACAACATTATTGCTAACCAAAGGACGAGTCTACTGCCCAGCAGTTCTCTTTGTTCTACTATATGAATGCGAAACATGGCCGGTAAAAGTAGAAGACATTTGTAGGTTACTGGTTTTCGATTATAGATGTCCTCGAAGCATTGCTCGTGTATCCTGGGACAACCGAGTAAGCAATGCCATATTTAGGAAATAAGTGCTAGGTACGGATGGCAGATCAATTGATGAAGTATTGAAACTCCATCAGTTGAGGTGGTTGGGACATGTGCTACGTATATCCAACCACCGACTACCTCGACGAGTTATGTTTCGTGGTGTAGGAGTTGGTTGGAAGAAATCTAGGGGCGGCCAAACCAAAACATGGCACAAACTCATGAAGTCACTGACTAGTGGACTGAGTCATGTAGGTAGATGTAATCTACCTGGTTGGGGTCTGTGAGACGAAAGTCACCGACGGTTAGACATGGCTCAAAATCGTTTGTGACGGCGCAGGTGTCTTCATTCATTGTGTTCTCAAATTCTAACCTTCTGAATTCCCCATCATCTTTATCTTTCTCTCTCTAAAGCTATCTCATTGAATTATACTTCTCGATTCATATATTCGAATACTAATCTCCATTACTGCGAATACTTCTTTTATCGCTGCCACTTTGGGATTTGAATAGACAGTCGCGTCTCTGTGTTGATGCGGTATGGCAACCTGAATTTATGTACTCATGTACGAAGTTCCATGTTGTAATTACAACTACTATTAATACATCTCTCTTATCTATAATAGACAACTTTGAGGAAGGAGAGGAGGAGAGACGTAGGATACTAATTACACAAGGTTGAAAGCTTCATATTTAGAATTTGTGCCTATTTATCCTTACGAACCTTATTCCGTAAACAATACAACGATATCTCATACAAGTAACAGAAAAGTAACCACTTGTCGTGATCGTATTGAACATAATAAAGCAAACTATTTATAGACAACGAGTCAGTAAGATAATCAGTGTTACATACTGGTATCATTACTGTTAACTAACTAGCATTTTATCCCTATTTTGTCATTCGAATAGATTAAGAGCACTAGATTAGTCAGTAATCCAGTTGCTCTCTCTCTCATAAGTGCATAACTTTCCTTTCAGCTTTTGCTAGAAATCGCTTCATAAGATCATTCTTTTGTTTTCCATTAATTAGCTGGTTGCAAGACGATGTCTTTGGTTATATGTATTCAAAGATACAATGATGTCAATATCAGGTCAACATCCTCAATTGTTTAGTCATAATTTAATTTCATTAATGAAAAGTCGAACATCACAAACACGATTTCTTCACAAGTAAGTTTTTGTGGATATATTCCATTTGTGCGTTTTTTTTTACATCCCAAGAAGTTGTTTTTATTTTTTCTTGTGGATTCCTCTTATACTGCTACAACGTCTACTGCTATGAAATTTAAATTAACAATTCCATTTTTCTGTGCTAATGTGGTATGGCCACTTGAACTGATGTACGTACATACCAAGTTCTACGTTGTAGCTGATTGATTGACTGACTGTATGTGAACCATCTTAGTTCCAATGAAGACTATTAATGATGTTAAAATTATCACCATTATTTACCTCTTTTGCACAAACCTAAATATAGAAACGTTTTAGATGTCCTACTTTGTGAATATACTGGTACCAGATACTATGCTTAACAGTGTATTGTTTTATTCACTTGTATGTCAAGAGTAATTGAAAATCTATGAAGAATCGACTACCACATTTTTTTAATAATTAAGTCATCATCATTTTTTAAATTTTTAACCAGTTCAACTAACAATTTACCATGATTCAATAGTTTCCTATTCCCATCAACTAATTTGTAATTTATAGTTCACTGGTTATCAGTATATATCTATCGTGATTATCGAATGAATTTAGCATATCAGTTATCGCTTTCAAATAGAACAGGCGAAATAGCCTTTCATGAAGCAAACTACTAATAATAGATAGCATAATGTTATTCATATTAGTAGTTTTCAAGGTGTTAAAATAATTTCACGATAGTTTACTTCAAAACAATATATTTACCATTAGTCACAAAGAGTATCCTAAATTATCTGCAATATTTGAATCATTATGGCAAGGGCTACAGAATAAACAAAGACTCAATAGACGATGAGAGTATTATCTTTTTCCACAGATTACCAGAAAAACGAATCAAATAGTTTGTGAAACATTTCAATTAGTTCTTAGTTCAGTTGTTTACCATCCAAATACAACCTGTATAGGTCAAGAACAGTTTTTACACTATTACAAAGGAAATAAGTTTTTTCCACTAGCTCTTTTGTATGTGAAAATTGAAATCGAACAATCGATTGTCAACGTTTCGTTCTTTTTAAGTTCAACATGTACATCATCAATTATTCAATCGGTGTGAAATTTAACATTTTTGGCCTTGCTTATAAATTGAATAAGTGTTGAGTGAGTCCTTGTTTGCTGTACAGTAGATTTTGACATCTTTTAAAACTGATAGATTTTTTTGTGTGTACGCATGTGCGTGTATGCACACACATGCACTCAACTGATTTTTACTTAGAAAGTGAAATAGAAAAAGTTTAATTTTTAAAATTTATTCATAAATTTTCGAAAAGATTCTTTTTTCTAAATATTTATATTATATGTTATATATAATTTTTCCTGAATTGAGAAAAGTTTTGCCTTTGTATATTAAAGAGTTTTGAAATAATATGTAAACTGTTTAAAATTCCACTGCTTTTTTTGGTAGACCATACTTAACTTCCAATACAATTTATATTATTATTATTATTATTATTATTGTTTCGAGTTATTTTTTATTGTCATGGGAAATGTGTATTTGTTCCACTGCTGTTTCGTTTTGCATTACGTAGGGTTAATTGATTCAGTTACAAGCTATTCATATGCACCTTAGGATATTCAGAACTAATAATATTCATAAGAAATATAGAAGTTATAAGGCAATACAATTTTTCAAGTTATCTATGACTACATATTTTTTTAAAAATTAACTGATTGATACATAATCGTCTGACGAACTAGTGATGATGATTTTCAATGTAGTTTAAGCACGATGATTTCCGAAAAATTCTAGTCGCTAATCAAGATGGTTTCATCTGGAAGCTTACGATTATTTCTCTACAACTATCTAATAGCTTATTGTGTCAACATTAAATTTCATTGATGGTTGCCAATATTTATCCTGTCATTCTTTGCAGAAAAATATCAGAACAGATAACGAAAGTCTCAGGATTATACCATCTAGCTCGAAGAAAAAGTTTTTACCGAAAACGTACGATCATTCTGTATGTTAAACAGCTTCTTACTTATTTTCGTCCTGAAAAAAAATTCCGTCATTCAATGTTATGAATTTATTTATAGCTTTTATCATGAAACAACATTAGTTGTACAACCATTAAGAACTGAAATGTTTTTCGTTCCCTAGGTCGAGACTAATAAACAGCATCCATATATATATATATATATATATATATATATATATATATATATATATATATATATATATATATATACATGGGATACATTCTCCAAATCATTTTACACTAAAATTAATATTGTCATCCAGTTATTTTTCAGTTTTCTAGATAATATTTCTTAGTTCTCATCAAAATTCTAAAACGTAATTGGCATGATGCTGACATTTAAACTCTGTTTGAAATTTACCACATAGGAAAAAACCAACTTCAGCAAATTAGTCATCAAGTGTGTTTTACTGTAAAAAAAAAAACAAACATACATACATATAAACCAATTTCAGTGAATATGCATAGATTATTTTGTCAACAGTTAACATCATAACAGCTACAAACACTGTGCCCTGTCATCAATTCACATCTATTTAACCATTTAAAAAAAGTTAATTTTGAATAATGAAATTATTGATCTGCAATCTAGTGATGATATTGATGATTGTGACAATTGACAAATGAAATATAACTAACTATAAAAACAAAATGCACAATTGTATATGATCAATCGAAATTAGTTCATTCTATTTATTTGTACACAGTGTAATATAAAAATGAGAAATGTACTAATGTTGTGACTTAATAATTTGTTTGTTTAAGTTACAATGTATAATTTATAAACTGATGAAAAGTCAAATTACACCATATATTAACTGATGCAATTGTTTCAATGATAAAAAGTACTTTAATCAATCATGAGATGATAGTCAAAGATAATTTGGACAACAATTTGATCGATTTCTAGACAGCTGAGTGGTATTAGTAGCCTCCATGCGAAAATTTTTAACTGGAAGCCTACCTTTTTCATTGAAGGCTATTGTTTTGGTTACTTACTCTAATAGATCTTTTTCAGAGTGAATAGTCCGCCGACTGTTATTTTTTTTCCTTCGTGACATTTTTTACATCTATTCTCCTCTTTTTTTTGCTACATTTTGGAAGTTACATACTATCATAATACCGCTTACCTTCATTAAAATAAGCACTAGTTTACTACATCAAATAAATTAAAGTTACACTTAATATTACAATTTTAGATGATTGTGGATAGGGATGGAAGGTTGGTAACATAGTTAAATGCTAATATTTGTTTAATCTTTCACTCTTTTACATGCATACTATCATATTCAAGGCGTTTTCAACCAACTGTCAAAGTTCCAGAGACACGAGGTTGTTGTATAGCAAGTGTGGTACGAAATCAATTCAAAGGAATGAAATATTTATGTGGTGTTATTGCTAAAAGCATTTTTGTTATGGAATGGTATAATCCAAGGAATACGTTTATTGAAGTGAAACGAGTAAGTCATTGTGAATATATGATCAAGCTTGAGAAAAGAAAAACTTTTTGATCTAGTTTAATTGTAAATAGTTTACAACCATAATTGTTAAACTTTTAATTCTTATAGGATAATAATTATCAGTAACAAAAAATGATAAATACATCCATAATATTGTGTTCATTTTCAATGGATACCAAAAAAAGTTCTTTAACTTATGGTTTTTCAAAATTCTTAGAATCAACGATAAATAAATTATTGAATTAAATTTCTACATACCTGTTACACATCCTAGCCAAAACTGTTTTGACTATCTCGAGAAATAAATTATTCACTCTCCTTAACGACTTATGTGTATAGAGATTTGTGGAGATTACTGAGTGATATTGATTCAACGAACTGATATAAACTCCAGATCCATTTGAAACCAGGAAACAGGATAGCTACCACATACTAGTATGTGAATCTTCTGCAGTGTGCATCCGATATCCCTCAACCAGAGATTGAGCTCAGGACTCCCGTTCTCGCACGCCTAATGATTTAAAGATCTAGCATTCGCTCGTGAAACTGAGAGCCGTGAAATTGGATTGTATGCCTTTAGCCGACACTGACAAAAGTCGAACTACATTTGACAAACGATACTCCAGATAGTCTTCTGTAGACAGTGCTCCTTCGGTCGTTATCTCTTCGATGATAGGATAATCCCCTGATTCACTAAGGTACATGGGGCGGTACCCACGACCACATCCGATAACTGCAATTCATTGAGCCAATTATTTCCGAATAATTTCAGATCAGTCTATGCTAAATAGTACACTCTTGCGAAAATGATTTCTCAGAAGGGCACAATACACTGCAACAGACTGTCCTAACAATTTACTCACTCTAGAATTTACTCATCTCCCTCCAAAGCTTCCCTGATCTAATGATAATGTTTGAAACTGTATAGCTACTCGGTGATACTCATTGTGCAAAACTCTTGCCCGGTGACTATAATTTCGGATATCTCAAAAAAAACAAAGGAACTATATACAGGTTTGAATATTAACTATATTGAAACTAGGATTGGGCGTCTATTGAGTTCATAACAGTAGCAATATCCATTTCGGTAACCAACAAATGCAAATGTTCTTTGTAGGAGTAGGTCCTGACTAAATGCCACTATACCAGCATTGATTTTAGATTCTTTTTTGAGCATGGTAACAGGATCAATTTCTTTGAATTAGATATGGTAGGATGAAATTTCAGAGGTAATCATTATGATTTAGCGTCTAACGGATTGTTTGAAACTTTGGAACCAACTTTATTTCTGAAGTTAACTAGAATAATATCACGTTGAAAACTGTCATATTTCAAATTTATGAAAAGAACCGTAAACTTATACATGGTTTTCAATATTGATTTCTTTCTAATATATTTTATATGGTGATTTAATTTCCCCCAATAAATTTGCATAGATTATTCACATGTTTCTTTCATAATTGTTTACTGTTTTTTTTCTTTTTTTTTTTAAAAAAAAAATAATCATTCAGGTTGACTTACCATGTATGCCTAATCCAGTGCTTAATTTCGATTTAATTATCAATCCAAATCAAACTTTGCCTACAGTATGCTTAGGTGTATCATCTACCCCAGATCCACTTGTCTATAAATTGCATCTTGTAAATTTGAATGAAGATTCTAATTCTTCCTGGTATTCAAATCCTTGCCGATGTAAGTTGTTTTGTTTATGTATTTAAATATAAGAAAGAAAATTTTACTTGATCAAAAATTAAATTTCAGTTCTGATTAAAAAAAGTTCAACTAAATACTGAGTGAGATTTAGTCAGTGTTGAGATATTTTTTTGAAATCAGTAATCGAATAAGAATTGTATTTAAAGTACTGAAATTAAACAATGATACTAGTCAGACAATAACAAAATAAGAAGTTGACATAACTTAATATATTTTCATTCCTTTAATGTCTATATTATTAAAACGAAACAAAATTCTGTGGATGTTGTTTTTAAATATTTTTCAAAAACAAATTGTTTCATCAAGTTTAATTATATTCTACACATCATCCTCATATTGCAGTGCGAATCAATTAAATGATCTATGCACAATTAGATGGTTTAAAGTGAAAGTTATGCGTTGTTTTCTATTTTCCTGTGAACAGATATATAATGCACATTCAAGAGAATATTGATTATATCTTATCAAATTCATTTCATTAAAACAAACTATCGTTTACATCATGCGCCCCAATTGTCTTCATGTACATTTACTTTTACGGATAATGTTGGTTAAACTCTAGTATAAGTGTAATCCAATCAGAATCAAGAATATTTACTAGTTTTTATTTATACGGGATTGAAGAATGACTGACTTTTATTTTGTGTTACATAAAATTCCCCCAATGTAATTATCTTTGTTCAGAGCTTTGAATGTTTAGAATAATTATTTGTAGAGATATTTTTATTACGTTACAGTAAAAAGGACATTGTTGAAAGTGTCAAATATTTAATTCTGTGTACGTAGAGTATACATAAAATGCGAACCAATGAGTTTCTGTCTCAACTTTTTTTATGACAAACTCAATTTTTTTATTAGTGGTTTATGGAATTATGGACGAGCTATTGAAGGACGAATGCAAAAACAGATAACTGCTTTCATTCATGATTTCTCCACTTTTATTATAAGATACTCTTGATTTCTCTGCATCATCAGGTCATCTATAGAATGGTTCAAGATATTACAGTTGTATGAATTTATTAACGGAATATTGAGTTATAACTCATAATCTTTCTACTCCTAATTATGACTAGTGTTATTTTTATTACTCTTAATGGTTGAGCAGTTAGTTCAACAAGTTGAAACGTTATGCATATATATACATATATATGAACTGGAATTTAGATAAACTCACTTTAACTTTCATTCAGACCAATATGTATGTGTGTATACTCATCGAGAAAAGTACGTAAAGTATGCAAATGATTGCACCATTTCTCTTTCTCTCTCCCTCATCATATCAACTGAATAATACATAAATAACATTGATTTTCTATTTTATTTTTGAGGGTGATAGTAAAATGCAACATTCAACATGATAAAGGTGTATTTGTGAAAGTTCACTTACACTGAAAATGAACAATATCATCATTTCGATGCCTCATGTTTACGAGACAAATTGATGTCAATGTACAAATTTAGTATGATATTAAAATGTTTGCGCTTGTTAATGGTCTTTTTAATTAGTACACACAATACAGAATTTTGCGGCAAACACAAAATCGTTTTAAGAGAGATCATGAATAATTGAGAAAAATCAATCAATCAATGAAATTCTTTTTTGATTTAAAGCTATATTGTCTGTTAGGTTGAGAGGTAATAAAAAATAATAATAAATTCTGATAGTTTAAATTCAAATTATTTACAGATTTTAGAGTTGACTTTCAATCAACAGTGTAAATGAACATACTTTTTTTTCATTAAACACATGTTATGATTAGTAAGTTAATAAAACGTTTTACTAACGACGATACATGAATATCAAATGTTTGTGCAATCCTGTGCACATTTTATTGATGTGCAATTGTATCGTAAATACTTTCATCATTATTAATTAATGTTTTCTTACATTCTATCAAGTATATGGTCTATTCTAGAAATACTCAAACCGCACTTTCAAGTTTCCTGCTAAAACTCAGGAAATTTTCGTAATTTTAAGAGCTACACGTACCCATAAGGCAATAAGTAGATAACTATAAGATTGATGGTCATAGGTTGAATTCATGGACTGTTAAAACAGTCGAATGTATTCAGTATTTTGCGTTTTTCGAATTATTACTCTATGGATGGTTTCTGATTAATTAGAATCTGAAAATATCGTCTGTACTCGAAAATCTACTAAAATATAAGACAACAAAGTAACTAAATAGTCTAGCATCTAAAACTGTTATGACGTCTGTTCGTTATTTATTGAACAGAAATTTCAAAAGTTAGTACTACTTGAAAGCAGACCAAATCAAAGTCCTTATCTGACACCATTGGTAGAATTATTGAAAAATATAGGTTATTGGGTATTCTTTCCACCCTTTATTGTTATTCCTTAACAACACATAGGTACCAGATTCAAACTCTCTCTAAAGTACTTCAGTGATCAACATATTTTTAAACTATGGATTCGAAGTTGAGTAGTAAGAATCCATGACTTCTGAATTCCCTACTCGTCAAAAATTTGAAGAGTGGCAGTATCTTTTCAACATTAGCTCCAGTTGGAAACTAGTGTCACTGATTTTAACTCACTTGGTCACTGAATCACTTTTACTAGCTGTATACACTCTCATAACAATCACAATCCTTGTGTTGTTTGTCATGATGATTTGATAAAATTACTACAATGGTTGAACTTCTAATTTCGTCATGAAATGGATCTTTAGTCTCCAACTGAGTCATTTTCAAAAGACTTAACCACTCGTCAATTGATATATATATATATATACTTTGTTATAATGGGAATCAAAGTCAATGATTAGGAGTAAAATGTCCAAACAGGAGAATAGGTCAATTGTTTCTACGATATCAGCTACTAAAATTCTTGATAAGTAGCATACTTTATTTACGTAGTTGGACTGTCATTATTTTGAACGTGAACCGACATAACGGTTAAATCATTATTATTTGTACATATATTATTGTACACAGTTTTTTAAAAAAACAATTTACAATAATTTCATATATATATATATATATATATATATATATATATATATATATATATATATATATATATATATATTCAATTTGACATAACAAAATGTTAATATTGCAACCTCTTTTTCATTAAAATTCCTCTAAGTTTTATTCTAGTCTAAACGCCGTTCACTATTAAATATAAACCTGTTTTTTTTTGATGAAAAAATGTTTCATATAACGCTGCACATAGACGTTACTGCTGTCTGTGTTCAATTCTAATGCCATGACTGCACAAAGTACCATATATTTCGTATTGATTAATTTTTCATTCCTTGTGTACCTGATTGCTTGTTTTTATGCTACACATGTGCATGTATGCGTTTACATATCCCATGTATTAATTTATACACAGCATTGCTTACATGCATTTGAGCGAATATTACAGTTTGAATTTAGTTAATCACTTACAACGCATAGGTCATTAATAGTTATTTTCGCTATTCCTAGTTGTAGTAATTAATTGGTTATGATAATTAATTTGATCATAAGATGATTTAAGTACAATTCCCCCCCGCTTTCAAGTATCGATAATAACTGGTAGAAATTCAACGCTGACTATAATGGTTGGGTTAACATATTACATAAAAATGCAAAACTATAGTACCAACGTGTATATGATGTGTAACATTTTTATAATAAATTGCAATTTTTCTAGTCTTATGGTATTTATACTTGAAGCTCTATATGAGTTTGTTAATTGGTTTGTCCATAAATCTGATTCAATGATTTCATGGCTTTCTGTCTATCCATTGAATTAAGCTAATCAATTTGAGAAGCTTCTTATTTTTCATGATGGGGGTACTGTATGGCAAATTTCAATATAGTCACTGATTCATTTTTATAATAATTTTAATGTCGTTTATACCACCCCTAAATTGTCTCTGTGAGCATTTAGAACAGATCATTTTTTTATGATTAACAATTATTTACACCCCTCAAATATATTTCAGTATATTTGTTGAATAGCACTTCAGCTATCCCGATAATTAAAATGAATCACACATTTGAAACTGCTAGTTTCCTTAACACGAACACAGTAACTGAATCTAGTCGAAATCACTACTGTTCTCCCTAAATAAATAGAATTCACATAACCGAATCGCTTAGATCACTTGGTAATTGGTATAAATCAGTTTTTCGTTATTCACTGGCATACGTTGTTCGTTAAAAAATAACCTCTTGTAATCTCAACTAGGTATTCGTTAGAAGCCATGTAGTTTTGAAAACTGTCAACATAAAATGTCACATTTGTGATAACCTCCATTTCCTCACTATTACATTGTCTATAATTTAGAATTAACCCTGAAGTGTTAGCTATCCTGTCACAATAACTGAAACCTCTTCTTGTTGCTTAGGTTTGTATTATACCAACTGCCATTGATTACCAGTTTTCTATTATGTGAGAAGAGCTATCATCAATGACGTTCTCTGTCAAATATTGATGGTAAACATAACTAATGGCTTGTCATGTATTACTCTGTGTTTGAATCATTTCGGATTACTACTAGAAGAGTCCTGCACTTAAAATGTTAGTAATTAGTTATAATGTGTCACTACATCAACACTATCTAGTCCTGTATATTATTCCTTATCCTGATTCCCGATCAAATAAGAAATGATTGCTAGATAATATAAAAACTATTGATTTTGTTTTGCATCATTAAGTGTTCACAAATATATCTAAAACTTACTTGTATGTATTTTCATATTTGAAATCACGAACTGGTCTTGGCTAAACCACCATCGCAAACCTAGAAGCACGAGACGGCCTTTCCATCCTAATATTGAACTCCTTATCAGTGCTCCTTCATGACCCCGTAAGCAGGGATTAAACCTAGGACCTTCTGTCTCGCGCACGAAGACAACTTCTGGACTACTGAGCTGGCATCCAACGTTGTTATTGTCTAACTTCAACCTTTACCCACTGCCTGCAGTGGATAACCGTCTCACATCCGACACACAGCTCCAAAGATCATGGCCTCGTTAGAACTCCAGGAACACATTTTATGATCACATGATTATTTTTAGTGAATGGGATTTGTGAAGACTGTATTATTTTCATCGTAGAAATCGCAAACTGATCTAAGCTAAACCACCATTGTAAACCTGGAAACACCAGACAGCTGTTTCGTCCTACTACAGGACTCCTCAGCAATTCGCATGCACGACCAGTTCATGATTTCGACTATGAAAATGATACAATCTCCACATATCCTCTTCACTAATTTTATATACTTGTATATAAATCGAAAGCAGTCTCATCAGTAAGATAGTTAGATTGTATTATAAATTCTCACTATGGTTTTTAAATAATACATTCTATGAAATTTCTGTTGTATTTATAAATGCATTTTTCAACACATCGTGATTAACAATCTATTTTAACTTTTTTTTCCTTTTAGGATAACCTTAATCCTATTTAATTTTTATTAAGAAGTGTTAATCTTTTTCCTGTAATGATAACAAAAATGTGTATTTCCCTACAATCTTTGCTTTTTTATGCCTGAAGATCATGTGTTGTTGCTATGTATACACAATTGATCTACTTTAATTTTATCGTCGTTAAATTTTAAGATTTTTCTACATTCTTGCTTTTCTGGATTCCATCGTTTAGGGTTTATTGTTAACGTGTCATGTGTCAGTTGTCGTATTAACGAGTTTACTTTAGTTTCCTTTCATATGAAAAGAATCATGGTTATTCATGATCAGGTATATTTTTCTGGACCCAACTGGACCAATCGGAATATAAAATATTGTTTCTCTAACCCTTGACAATTATCACCGTGTTATTCAATCAAATTAGTCTGAATTGTTGATAAATATTGATAGATACCTTTTATACAAAATGATCAAGCTCTCATTACAAATAAAGTAGATGATAACTGAATTATTGAATCCTATCTCAGGAAAACATACATACATTAGACTGCATGCAAACTCTACTGATGATGAGCTTTATTAAACACAATCAAAATAACGTATAAAATACCACTGTAAGATATCGATTCAGTTCTTATAGATTGTTGTCCAAGAAGAGTTGCTCCACCGCTCATCTACTTGGTTTCTTTGAGTGAATGGAAGGTTAATTGGTATAATTAATTCTCATACATAAAGTACATCTTGAATGAGATTTCGTATAAAACTACGCTTGATAAATGGGTTACATCTATTGATACTTTTTTTCTGTATTACTTTATTTTATTGAGATAAATCTATCCATGCTATATTGATGTTATACATTTGTCTGTTTATCCACTTTTATTGTATTTTATTCTCTTTGATTTCCAGTTGAAGACCAGTTGCAAGTGATTAAAGTTGTACAGCTTGATACACGTTCTTTGTTAATTTGTTTTCCAAGTAAGTCAATTACTTTATTCTACTGGATCTAAATGTTAAAAACTAAAATAGATCATTTTGTGCTGTTTTTTTTCTTCATTTTAAATCATGTACACTGATTTTGTTGGTGTTTTTAAAATGATTTTAATCATGGGCCTAATTGTGATCGACATAATAATAAAAAAACTAAAAGAGTACTGAATGCATTGTTTGATCGTAATTATAAGCTAATTAGTAGGTGAACATGGCTACAATCTTACACGAGTTAAAACTGAAAGCATTTAGATTTTATGACTAGTAGTACTATATTTTTATTAGACCATTAAGCTACAATATAAATAACCCATATTTATTCAATATCACACATTTCATGATGTACAATGATTGTTGTCTGATGTCATTTGCTCATCTAAATCGTATTCTAACGTAATTACACTATGGAATAACTTTCATATATCACTGGATTACATTTTGTTTTGAACGGTCATTTTATTCTTGCAATATACGTTTCCGCCTCTTGTGATATTTGATTTCTCTCTCGATTGGTCTCTCAACATTCTTCGTGTTTTAATTTAGCACATGCTACAATGGTAAATATGAATGGACGCGTGTTGGTTAGTAGAGATGGGCGAATAGCCAAATTCCCATTCGATACAGTAGTTGACTCTGTTGGTAAGTTTGAATATCATTATTTTGTATGCTATTTTTGCTTACTTCAATTTTTTGTAGTGAAATCAATACAAGAGCAGATGTGATCGACTTAGTCCAGTGTAGTGAAATCCGATGAAACGCATGAAGCATTATGCATGCGCTTGCGTGGGTATATGGTGCAGCCTATAACCTATTTGTTGAAGGCACATAGGTTTGCGAATCTCTCATCGTTTTCGTTCCCTCCTCCGGGTCGATGTCGTCCAATGATGTCTCTGTATCCGGTGTTTTCCATCCCAAGCTTGTCATTAAGGTCTCCTATCAGAATAGCCAAACCCTTTACTGGGCTTTTCCGACGATTGACTACAACCTCTCATAGAATTGATCTTGAACGTCCTCATCGTTATCGTTGGTAGGCGCATACCACTGGATGATGTTGATTATAATCCCCTCCTTCCTTGTTTTGACGGATGCTTTGATGATCGAGGGTCCATTAGATTCCCATCCTATAAGTGCATTTTGTGCTTGTTTGAATAGCATCAGTGCAACTCCTTGTGTGTGAAACACTTTCTTATTCATGGCCAATGTGTTTCTCAGATTCCAAGTGCTACCAGACTGTCATTTCATTTCCTCAGCCACATAAATGCTTCTTCGTCTCTTCAACATTGTACGAACATCCCAAGTACCTATATTATTGATTTCTCTGGTTGTCGTAAGTGACATCAACCTCGTAACTTCCGAAGGAACTCGGCTTTGATCAGGAGTCATGATAACTCTTCCAAATGAAGACCTTTCAACTGCCAAGTCAGAGTGTAAATGGTTAGAATTATTTTTTCTACTCAACGATTTTTATGAAGCTCGTTTTCTATGAGGTGGGATCGCTTACCTTATATCCAACCTTCCTGCTTTATCCGGGTGACCCTAGAAGGTGTCCAAGTGGAGTTAAAGTGTACTATTCACTTCATAAATATTCTATGCTAGTTAAAACCTTATATTTATAACATTAAACAATAGAAAGCTGATATTCGGTACCTCAAAGTTTATTAAAGTTGAAGTTTATGAACTTATTGTATATTCATTTTCCACGCATAGTTTTGCATCTTGTGCTGTAAACCTAATCCGTTCTTCTAATAGTTTTGATTTTAGGCATTTTGACTTAAGTATTTTGACTTTCGTTTTCCTTCCTAAAACTTAAATTAGAATTAATATTTACAAATGATATTCAATGTTATTTTATGATTTACTTATCTATCATCTAGTTTATTAGAAACAGTTGGCCATTCTTGTTTCACTTGAATATTTAGGCCTTAAGTATGAACCGTTGAATATTGTTGGTGCAATTTTTCACTTCATCCATTCATTCCTTTTAAACTTGTGGTCGATATGGTTAATTCACATAATTATGGTTAATTAAACCAGATCGTTTATAGATAGATTAGTTAAAGATAGCTCTTTGTTTGTCATAAATTGGTATTGACTGAAAAGTCATTATATAGTATAGCATACAACGCTCATTCACTTAATATTAATTCTTACCGATAACTAACTTCAGCTATACAAATAACTTTTAAAAATACTGAGTTAATAATTAGTAATAAGCTTTCAAATTGATTTTTCTAGAATCTAGTTGAAAGGCATAACTAACAGTGTTGTTGAGAATGGAGCTTCAACCAATCAAGAAGATCAAAAGAGTAAAGGTCTATACCACAAACTGACTGAACTTTTACATATAAATTATTTGCATTACGGGGTTGTGAAGATTGTTAAGTTACACATTTTTTTTTGAAACCATGAACCGATCAATGTTAGACCACCATTAGAAACCTGGAAGCACTGGACGGCCGTTTCGTCCTGGTATGGGACTCCTCAGCAGTGCGCATTCACTTCTTAATCGCTTATCCAAGCATAGTTTGTTCTCATCACGTGACAAAGAGATGCCCATTTATATCTTTTAAGTCAGCCTCATGATGCGTACTCTTGATACGCAAGTCCCAAACTAAGATGACTCAGTTATCGAGCATTTTTCGATAGTGATCAATGGTTCTCTGGTTTATGTTGATTGTTGATCAAAATTATTGTATCAAAATTCTTACAAAGCCACCTCACAATTATTTTAACAATGAATTGAGGTTTTCTATTCTTTTTTTGTACAGAATTCTGTAATCAAAACAATAAATCATATTGCAGTTGATTTCTTAAACATACCCTTTAATTTAAATGTATATATATCTAAGCTGCAACATTTCCCTTTAATACTTTTCGTTGTTCGTCGGCGTAGTAATTCTGATTTCATAAATAGGTTTTTTTATCTCAACAATTTCTGAAGTTAGTGATATTTGTCACTCAACAAAATTAGGTTTTAATAAATTAAATTTAGTATTTCCGTCTTGAAATAACTTTTTACTGGATGGTTTTAGTTGTTGAAAAAAAGGTATTTGATAAAGGTTTTTAGTTCCTGCTTTATGAATAACTATCTTTCTGTTAAGAAATCAAATGATTTGCAGAAGAGAGACGCATATTGTGGGATTTTATTCTATAAGTTTTCTTCTAAACTTACACTTATTTTATTTTATTGAATAGTTCGGTTGCATGACAGTGTACTCGCTTTCCACACACACGGTTTGAGGGGAATCGATTTTTTCGGTAGGGTAAGTATTTTTTTGAACTATGGATACAATAATAACTAATTTATACGACTTCATGAACACAAGCAATTTACTCATGATGGGATAATTCAAAGATGATCTCAATGGAAGTGAGTCAGTCAGCTATAATGCAGAACTTTGTTGGTACGTACGTCAGTCCAGGTTGCCAAACCACATTAGCACAGAGACGCAATTGTCACTTCAAACTCATTGTGGTAGAGATAGTAGGCGTATTAGCGGTAATGGAGAAGATTACAGTTCGAAGATATTATTCAAGAAGTATAATTCAGTGAAATAAATTTAAAAAGAGAAAGATAGTGATGAGGAATTCGGAAGATTAGAATTTGAGAGAACACAAAGAATGGATGCACCTGCGCCACTGCAAACGATTTTGGGCCATGTTATTCAAGTTCTTTAACCATCGGTTACTATTGTCACTCAAACGCCATATAGTAGGATGGAGTGAACTGCTTCGCAGTACATGCCCTTTGGTTAACAAACGGATATCTCACCTACGCCATTAGTGACGCAGGTTGGAAAAAACCAATCAAGCCTTTTGTATCCGTGCTGAAATTTCATCACACGCAAGGACATCAGGGCTCTTGAGACTCCCGAAATAAGTGAAGTGGTCGACACGCTCAACTGATTCACTCCCTATCACTAGTTCAGGTGCCAATCCTGAGGCAGCGTTTGGCATTTTGAGGGAAAGAATCGCATCCCGAACATGCTTGCATTGTTGCTTCGGATGCTCAGAAGATTCTGCATTTTGTCAGCGTATTCACCTAATAGAACTATGTCAGGGGCATACTCTAGGTCGACAAGTGTGTCTCCTGATAGAATGTCCGCTACTGAAAAGTCAGACAAAGATAATGTTATCTCTAAAAACATGTCTACGACAAATTTAAACAAGAATGGAGAGAGTAGACAGCCCTGACAGACACCACTTGGGGTATTGAATCCTGATGACAATTCTGCATAAGCTCTCTCTCGACCAGTAGTGTTCGAGTTAAGAGCTTGTATAGGGTTAATGTACTTCTTTGGTACACCTTTCAATGACAGACTGCCACAGAACCTCACAATCAACAGAGTCGAATGCCGCTTTTAGGTCGAGAAATACTACTATTGTGGGACGTCTGAAAGTGTGACTATGTTCCAGTACCTGACTTAGTGTGAATATATTATCTATTCATCCACGTCCAGGTCGGAAACCAGCCTGGTTTTCTCGAGTCTAATTTTCACGTGTTCTAATTAGACATCGGAGTGTTATCGAGGCCAACATTTTAGATAATGTATTAGTTAAACTGATTACTCTGTGATTATCATAAGAGGCCTTCTGTCCTTTTTTTGTAGATTGGGACAATCAGTGATTTAGACCATTTAGATGGGATTATGCCCAGTTCCCAGATTCTACCTAAGATCTCAGTCAATCTAACTGCCAAAACTGGACCACCTATCTTAAAAATCTTAGGGATAAGCCCGTCTTCTGTATATCACCTTAATAGAAAATAGAAAATATTTGCCATAAAACTATCCACGTTTCTGTACGCTTTAGGCTTAAAGCTACATAAGTCGTTATTTCAGCACATTGACACTGAATTATTAGTGTGACAGAAATATTATAATCTAGTTTTTCTCTTTTTAAATTTAATTCACTCGGTAACATTCCTTGAATTATATCCTCTATCCCTAATCTTTTCTGTTGCCGTTAATAGTGCTACAGTCTCTACTACTATGGAATTCGAATTGACAATTCCATCTCTCAGTGCTAATGTGGTATGACAACTTGAACTGATGTTCGTACGTACCAAGCTCTACGTTGCACCTGAATAACTAAGATAGTCTTATAAAGAAACTATTGATCATCTACCTTCTAGTGATATTTTTGCTAGATAGGAGATAAGTTTTCAGGAGCTTTGACCCCCTAAACGAAATATCATCTTGAAAAAGTTCATTAGAGTCAACTGATAACTAATTTGCAGTAAAATAAATTCTATTATTTTGACGCGTAAAATGATGTGATCGGAATGCTTTTAATTTCATATCTTTAGGTTACGCAAGATATTGATGACGATAAACATGTGTATCGCCTATTGGGAAGTGATCGGTAAGCCAACGATTGATAAACATTTCAAATGTTTTGAAATTTATTGTACTATTATCCTAATATAGTATGAGAAATTTATTTACTGGAAACTATTCAAGGAGAGTTCATGATACTTAGAGGTAATTTATATTGGGAACGGAAACATCTTTCCCTGTGCCTTGTAGAGAATAGAGTTTGAATACAGCTGTATAGAATTCCTCTAGTCATTCCACCGTCCATTTCGATAGCTTAACTAACCACACATACAGTTTCGTTTCCTATGTACTGAAGCCAGTATTCGTCCTACTGTTTCATTTTTTTAAACATTTTTGCTATATATAATATTTCTAAATTAATAATTTCGTTCCTGTTCAACTAGGAATATCGTTGTTGAGAGTAGACCAAGTGATGATCCCATGTCTAACTCAAACCTCCTGATTTTGGTAGGACACGAAGACTCATCCTAATTCACAATTATTAGTTTTACTATCATTTCGAAAAATAATGTGTAATTGTTTGCATACTCGAAAACTGTGTTTGAATAACTTATTTATTCTACCTTCAATCGATCACAATAAAGGTGTTGAATATATTATGTCATTGAGTTCGGGAATTTAATTCGTTTTTATAATTGACAATTCTTAACGTTTTATTTATTATGAATTCAGAAATATTAAACATACCCTCCTTGTGGTCTAAGTAATGGCAAAAATGTATCATCTGTAATGAATTGTGGACATTGTTTACCAATTTGTTCTACCATTATATTTCTTGTTGAATTTTAATTTATTTCCTTATCTTTTCATTTCCTTTTTAATGAAGAATATTTCTCGTGCTGATTATTTCTATGGTCAATCATTATTTTATGAAATCTGTACAGTCTTTGTTTTATTTGTTTATTTTTTCGACATTATGCTCGGATTTCTCTAACTAATATGTGTGTTTTCAGAATCTGATAATGAATCCTGTTTCTGCAAATGATTTTGTTTTTTGTCCATTATCGTCTTCGAACAGTTTGTATCGACAATACTGTCATTTATGGTGTATCTATTATGTCGTATCGAGTAATTTAGAATAGTAGTCGACACTGCCTCAATCACTTTTGATAACCATTTTAATGTGAAACCCGAGTAACTTTTGTTCAGTGCATTTCTTAGGCAATTAGTTTTCGACTCCCATGTGTCACATGAGGTTAAAAATCGTTTCATTTATCGAAGCAAAATACTCATGCAATATAATCAACATTTATGTAATCGATTTATTCCATAGCTTGGTGTATGAACTTTTATTCTTGTCACTCAGCCAAATTTTTATCCATTTTGACGTACGTCGAACGCAATACTGTTGATAAAAGACTAGGTCCACCCTTATATGACCCTAGAACGAATACTGTGGTTTTATGGAAGCCTTCTTCCAGTCAATTGTATAAGAGACCGATTCTCTTATTTGTAACAACAAACAAACACATCCAATCATCTCGGTACTAACGTGTTGCCTCATACCACCGTGATGATTCAGACAATCAACATTTATTTTCTAGACATACTCATTATAATAATGCGGTTATAAAGTTGCCCTTCTAAAAGTATTAGAAATATCATAGGGAGTACAATTACTTACTTTCTCAATTGGCAATGCATATAAAAGCTGAACTAATTCTGATGTCTGGTAGGTTGCTGTTAGAAATTATTTCCTCAGAATATATAGCCATTTATATATTTGAGAAAGCTGGATTCTAGTAGAAGACAAATGCATCTGCACCACTGAGCCATATCACCTATTCAGTTACTTTACTATTTGTGATCGAATTAGGCTGATCAGTCCTGATGCAAATTTTTGCATTGAGGTGGAAATTTACTGAGAATATTTTTATACTGTTACCTGAGGCGTTTAAAACGCTGTATTTTGTTAGCATTTTCACCAAACAGAAATAAATCGTTAAGTTCTTATTTTTCACAAGAGAAATAAAATTTTAGTGCTAATACTTTCTGGTCACCAAGATCTAAATCGTTAGTATACCTGATGAGTTATGTGATAGGACAGTTGGTATGATTCTTAAGAGAGTATCTACGACAAAACTAGACACAAAATGAGAATACAGAGCTTTGATGAAGACCTTGAGGTTGTTATCAAAAACTTTACAATAAAATGACTGCCTACTAATAGAACGGGTCAAGCTTTATGAGTGTTATGTCACTAAATTCAGATTATGGGATAACCACGTTACCATTAGTCTATAAGACAGCCTTTACTACTAACAATTTCTAGTGAATAACTCAAATCTGTGCTAGTAATAAAATCAAACAAATGGAACGAGTTACTGATTACCCTATATTAGTTGTTTTGAAACGATGGCCTACAGCTAGGTTGGATGATTTTGGAGTTTTCTTTCAGCTAGATAATTTAGTTGCGAAACTTTCATTATCATCCGGATAACATTTTCAGGGCCCAGTTCATATAGAGATGAATTGTGAATTGCGTTTTAGTATGCAACTTAGTTAGAAATTCGGTCAGTTGAAATGATAAACGCGCTGACAAATTATTGTATTTTATTAAATGGGTAGGCGACAATTCGTTTTTACCTCTTACACATGATTTCTAAGGCTCGGGCGCAAGAAGAGACCAATTCTAAGCAGTCGTAAAACCGTAAGAAAGTGTTATCGAAGGATAACAAGTTTCATATCCCACGCTACAAAATCATTTGGGAAAGAGTTTACTAATAAACCGTTCCGTATCTAGTGAAAAGGGTATGGGCGATAGTGCATGTTTAATAGGTGCGACTATCAGTAAGGTAAATCACCACAATGACAACTACCGAAAAAAGGGATGAAAAATGTAAGGGCTTAAAACCTGACCATTTTGCATTTACCACCAATCTAGAAAGTGGTTCTCTAACAATCAATACTGTGATTTCCCAGACCTCGTAATATCTAGTTATTCTCATCATGACAGTCACATTTCCACATACAACAACTTTGAACAGCGCGGAGAATATAGTTGGTTCGCTTAATATTAGTATGGGATTCTGAAGCAATGAGGTCTAGGCAATTGTCTTCTTGCTTTATATTGGATAGCATATTGTTATGACATTTGCAACTTACAGGCTTTAAGTAGTTGACCCATATCTATCAGTTAATAAATATTATTGTAAGCAAAGTTTCTTATTCAACAAATTGTCTTCCACTTTGATCACAGACAAAAAATACTAGCTAATTACAAGAGCATTGTCTGTTGATACAACCTATGACTAATCCAGTCAGCTTCTGGTGATTGTATGAGAAATGAGCCAAAAAGTATTTTTTTATTAACGACGTATATTAAAACTTTGGAAATGCAGTTGAGATATTTTTCTTTCATTTTTAAACTGGCACTTGTCGATTTGCGACTTAGGGCTTCCAACGTTACAAAGCCAATGTTTGCTGTTACGAATACTTGAAGTCGAAACGAATAAAACTTACAATGCATCGACACCAACACTTGTTCCTTCGAATTCGCCTATCACAGTACCACTTTCAGTATTCATAATCCAGCCAACAAGACCATTCACCTTGGCAAATTCAGCCGCATACTAAGGACAAATAATTATATTATCTAGGGACAGACCTTTCTAAAAAATACACCTGGTGATCAATAAACAGTTAAGAGACTCCCATACCTTGAACTTTGCCGTAAACTTCGAAAGAACAACCCTTCATATCATCTTGGTTACCAGCCATTAGCGTCGTAGTAAGCGCTACAGTAACTGAAGGTCATTTTCGGGTTTTGAAAGGACTGGAGGCCCCGAACTGTTTCTTGAGTTCGAGAGGAAAATCATTGAGCATGAAAAATAGTGAATTGAATGCATCTAAAAATAATTTTGGATGGTCATGTAGACCACGAATCTAAGAAAATTCACTTCCCTGAATCACAAGAAAAGTTATGTAAAATGCATATTTATGATACAGTGAAGCCTATAATTATGTCACATTAAGCGTTTCTGTATATATATCGCCTGCTGGTTTTATGCTGAAGCTGACTCCTACATTTTCTCATTTTTACTAGTGACGTTTCTGAACCTTAAGGCGCATTAAAAAAGGACATTCTGAAATCTGGATAACCAGTCAATCAATAAAGCTTAGACCCGCTTTTCCACGAGTTTGAATTACAGCACGAATCAGCAACAGTTAAGTTACTATGTATGAGGAGGATCATTGGTCAAGAAATTTAGGACAAAGCCTTCCTCACACAACTCCAGCTCTATAAACTCTTCCAACTGATTTAAAAGTCTGCCTGGAGCCCAATTCGTGGGCGACTGCCGGTCCCACGCTTGGATAAAGGAGGAGGATTGGGTATGGGGTTAGCGACCCCATCCCGTAGAAAATTAACTCGCCAAAAAGACGTTAACAAGAATTCACAACTACAAAACGTAAATCCACTACACTTCGTAGGGACAATAGTAAGATTGATTGGGCAAACTTCCGAAATCGCCTCACAAGCATTGAATCGACTAAATATTTTACCACAAAAAATGCCAACAATCTAACAAATGTAATTTATCGAAACACAAATAATATCTTCAGTAGAGTCGCACCATTAGTATCTTTGGGACACAGAATTTCTAAGGACATATATATACTTACTTACTTACGCCTGTTACCCCCAATGGAGCATAGGCCGCCTACCAGTTTTCTCCAACCAACTCTGTCCTGGGCTTCCCTCTCCAGTTCTGTCCAATGTTTGTTCATTCCTCTCATATCTTTCTCTATTTCTCGGCGTAGTGTGTTCCTTGGCCTTCCTCTTTTCCTTTTGCCTTGAGGGTTCCATGTGAGGGCTTGTCTCGTGACGCAGTTAGGTGCTTTTCGTAGTGTGTGTCCTATCCACTTCCACCGTTTCTTCCTGATTTCCTCCTCCACTGGAATCTGGTTTGTTCTCTCCCACAGTTCGTTGTTGCTGATGGAGTCTGGCCAACGAATCCGAAGTATTTTGCGTAGACAGCTGTTAATAAACACTTGTATCTTCTGAATGATGGCTTTGGTAGTTCTCCATGTTTCCGCTCCATACAGTAGAACTGTCTTCACATTTGTATTGAAAATCATGATTTTGGTTTTGTTTGGAAGTTGTTTGGATTTCCAGATATTTTTCAACTGTAGAAATGCAGCCCTCGCTTTGCCAATCCGCGCCCTCACATCTGCGTCCGATCCACCTTTCTCGTCGATGATGCTGCCAAGATATGTGAAGGTGTTAACGTCGTCCAAGGTATCTCCATCAAGCGTGATTCGGTTGGTGCATGTTGTGTTGCATCTGAGAATTTGGCTTTTGCCTTTATGTATGTTGAGACCTACTGCTGCAGAGGCTGCTGCTACACTGGTCGTCTTCTCTTGCATTTGTTGTTGAGTGTGCGATAGAAGAGCCAAGTCATCTGCGAAGTCCAGATCGTCCAGCTGCGTCATAACTGTCCAGTTGATACCGTGCTTCCCTCCAGATGTTGACGTTTTCATAATCCAGTCGATCACCAGGAGAAAGAGAAAGGGTGAGAGTAAGCAACCTTGCCTGACACAGGTCTTCACCTCAAACGCGTCTGTTAGCTGTCCTTCGTGCACGATTTTGCAGTTGAATCCATCATAAGAATTCCGTATGATGTTAACTATCTTCTCAGGCACACCGTAGAGTCGAAGAAGTCTCCACAGTGTTTTCCTATCCACGCTATCGAATGCTTTCTCGTAGTCGATGAAGTTGATGTAGAGTGGTGAGTTCCATTCAATTGATTGTTCCACAATGATCCGTAATGTAGCAATTTGGTCAGTACATGATCGATCCTTACGAAATCCGGCCTGTTGATCTCGAAGTTGGGCGTCTACGAAGTCCTTCATTCTGCTTAACAATACTCTGTTGAAGACTTTGCCTGGTATTGAAATAAGAGTGATGCCTCTGTAGTTCTCACACTTGCTGAGATCGCCTTTCTTTGGTATTTTGATGAGGTATCCTTCTTTCCAATCTGATGGTACTTGTTCCTCATCCCAAATCTTCTTGAAGAGAATGTGAAATATTTTCGCAGTTGCTTCCACATCTGCTTTCATTGCCTCTGCTGGAATGTTGTCTGGTCCTGCTGCTTTGCCGCTCTTGATTTGTCTGATGGCTATACTGATCTCCTCAATCGTAGGTGCGCCAATATTAATTGGGAGGTCCGTGGATGCTGCTTCGATGTTGGGTGGGTTCAGTGGAGCTGGTCGATTCAATAGTTCCTTAAAGTGCTCCACCCACCTATTTCGCTGTACGTCAGTGTTGCTGATTATTTTCCGTTCCTTGCTTTTCACTGGTCGTTCTGGTTTACGATAGTTTCCGGCGAGCTTCTTCGTTGTTTCGTACAATTGTCTCATGTTTCCGTCTCTTGCAGCCTTTTCCGCCGTCATTGCTAGATCTTCCACATATTTTCGTTTGTCAGCTCTGATGCTGTTCTTCACTTCCCTGTTTGCTTCCGTGTATTCAGCTTGTGCCTTAACTTTCTCTGCTCTTGTTCGGCTGACATTCACTGCTGCCTTCTTGTTCCTCCTTTCTTGAATTTTTTCAAGAGTATCAACAGAGATCCATTCCTTGTGATGGTGCTTCTTGCGACCAAGGACCTCCTGACATGTTGAAGTGATTGCCTCCTTAATCCCTTTCCAATAGTTCTCCAATGTTGTGTCCTCTCCATTGAGTAGATCCTGAAAGGCCTGGAACCTATTGGTGAGGGCTATCTTGAATTCGTTGAGTTTTACGGTATCCCGAAGAAAGGCTGTATTAAACTTGTGTGATGTTGTCTGCCCCGTTGTCCAGTGATTCTTTAGCTTCAATCTCATTTTGGCGATCAGCAAGTGGTGATCTGAAGCTATATCAGCTCCTCTCTTGGTTCTCACATCCTCCATGGTCCTTCTGAACATTTTGTTGATACAGATATGGTCAATTTGGTTTTGAGTAGTGTGGTCCGGTGAAATCCATGTGGCTTTGTGAATGCGTTTGTGCGGGAATATTGTGCCACCGATGACCAGTTTGTTGAAGGCACATAGGTTTGCAAATCTCTCACCGTTTTCGTTCCTTTCTCCCAGTCCATGTCGTCCCATGATGTCTTCATATCCAGTGTTGTCCATTCCAACCTTGGCATTCAGGTCTCCCATAAGAATCGTCAAATCCTTCGGTGAACATTTATCGACGAATGACTGCAGCCTTTCGTAGAATTGATCTTTAACGTCGTCATTGTAGTCATTGGTAGGTGCATAACATTGGATGATGTTCATTGTAATGTCCTCTTTCTTTGTTTTGAAGGATGCTTTGATGATCCTCGGCCCATGAGATTCCCATCCTATTAGTGCCTTTTGTGCATGTTTGGACAGCATCAGTGCAACTCCTTGTGTATGTGAAGCATGTTCCTCTTCATGACCAGAGTATAACAGCAGTTCCCCTGAAGCTAGTCTCAGTTGTCCTACCTATGTCCGATGCGTTTCACTGATGCCGAGCACTTCGAGGTTGTATCTTTTCATTTCTGCCGCAACTTGAAATAGTCTTCCAGTCTCCCACAATGTACGAACGTTCCATGTACCTAAAAGAATGGTTGCTCTGGTTGTCAGAAGAGGCATCAGCCCCGTGACTTCCGAGGGAACTCGGCTTTCATCACGAGACGTCATAATTCTTCTTCCAACTCCCAGGGCAGAGTTAAAATGGTTTGAATTATTTTTTCTGGTTAGCGTTTTTTTTGGCAAGTGAGATTTCAACGGAATGGGGTCGCCAACCCCATGTCCAACCCTCCTCCTTTATCCGGGCTTGGGACTGGCAGTAGCCCCTAAGGTTCTACTGGCGGAGTTGACATATATATGCCAGATCATATATGTTAACGTATTCGAAGACATGTTTCCAGACCTTTTAACCTTAATTACTTCTCCGCCCTAGTTACGATGACGAAACACGTGTCGAGGCAGAGATAATACGGACGAAAACGGTAATAGCAGAAAACGGGCTGAAAAATGAATCTTCTGCGTTTATTAAAATCCTTCAAAATAAACCTAGGTGCTCCAAAGTGAAAGGGGGCATATTTAATAAAAACAACAGTGTTAGAAGACGATAAACGTATCGCACAGCTGTTTAGCGAATATTTTCTTGCTTCGTTAACAAATGAAAACAATGAATGAATCACTGCTGATTCTAGTGCCTCCTTGTGGAATCGCGATGAAGAAAGGAGGCGTTAATACTACACCTACTTGATAACAATCTCAAGTAGACCTTACAACTTCCCTCACAGCCCCTCTGGGGCTGGATTAAGGAGGAGGTTTGGTTATGGGGTTGTTGGCTCCACCCCATAAAAAACTATCTAGTTAAAAACGCTAGCCACAAAAATCAATTCCAGCCATTTTACTGTGCCCTGGGAGTTAAAAGGTCTCCTTTCAGAAGAGTTATGCCGTCTCATGATGAAAGCCGAGTCCCTTTGGAAGTCACGAGGCCGATGCTACTCCTCACAACCAGAGCAACCATTCTTTTAGGTATATCGAACGTTTGAACATTATGGGAGACTGCAAGACTATTCCAAGTTGCCGCAGAAATGAAAAGATACAACCTCGAGGTGCATGGAATCGGTTAAACGGATTGGACGCAGGTTGAATAACTAAGACTAGCTTCGAGGGAGCGGCTGCTATACTCCGGCCATGAAGAAGAAAATGCCTCACACGCACAAGGAGTCACACTGATGCTGTCCAAACAAACATAAGAGGCACCGAAAGGATGTGAGTCTCACGGACCCAGGATCATTGCATTACAATGAACGTCATCCAATGCAATGCACCTACGAATGACTACTAAGAACACGTCAATGATCAACTCCACGAGAGACTGCAGTCAATCATCGACAAATGCTTGTCAAAGAACTTGACCATTCTGATTGTAGAAAGCAACCAAAACGGTGAGAGTTTCACAAACCTATGTGCTTTCAGCACACTGGTCATCGGCAGTACAATATTACCGCACAAACGCAGACACGAAAATACGTTGATCTCCCTGGGTCACACTACTCAGAACTAAATCGACTATATCTGTTCCAATAAAAAGTTCAGAAGAACCATGAAAGATGTGAAAACAAAGAGGGGAGCTGATATAGCCTCAGATCACCACTTGCTGGTCCCCAAAATGAAACTGAAACTAAGGCAGCACTGGACAACGGGGCAGACAACATCATAAAAGTTTAATACGGCCTTTCTTCGGGACACCGTAAAACTCAACAAATTCACGATAGCCTTCAGCAACAGGTTCCAGGCCTTGCAGGATCTACTCAATGGAGAGGAAAGCATATAATAACGTGGACGTGAAAACACTATGGAGGCTTCTTCGGCACTACGGCGTGCCTGTCAAGATAGTCAACATCATACGGAATTCTTATAATGGATTAAACTACGAATTCCTGCTTGGAGGACAACAAATACCGGGGGGGAATTGCTTATTCCCATCCTTTCTCTTTCTCATGGTGATCGACCAGATAATGAATACGTCAACATCTTGAGAGAAGCATGGTATACAGTGGACAACCCGGATACATCTGGACTTCGAAGCTGAACTGACTCTTTTATCCATCACAACAAATGAGAGGGAAAATTGCCAGTGTAGCAGCGGCCTCAGTAGCAGCAGGCCTCAGCATTCGAAAAGGAATAGGCAAGATGCAACACAACATGCACCAACCAAATCACCACCGAATCCCTGACGTCACGTCACGTCTAGTCGACTTACTTGGAATGTCCTTCTGTCTTCTCAAAGACCGACTCGTTTAGAATGTATACTCACGGTCCACTACTGTAAGTAACTTATATAAAAAGATTTCACCACTTCATTCTGACATTATGGGTTTTCACGTGTTTCTGTCGGCTTACAATATGTTTCTCGGCCGCGATTTTGACTTGGCGCACCTATTTTTTTCCAGAACGCTGCCAACTTTCACTGTATTCTCCCTTTAACATTTTAGACTGCCTGAAATCGACTATATCCAAGCATCTCTAAACGTTAATTGACAGGCTGGTTGTTAATACATTAAGCGCCTCCCATGAAGCGTTTAATAAACGAACTATGTCTGTATGCGAAAGTGGATTCAAAACGTATATACAGTAGGATCCAAACTGCCTAGGTAGTTTAGATACGCGCCTTACCTAGTTAAAAACCAAGACAAATGATTTGGGTAAATGACATCCTAACGTTCATCATAAATATAAATGTAAATCATTACCTAAACAAATATTACCGCTCACTTAGTCCACCAACAATTGTTCAGTTATTCAAATTGACAGCAACAAACAAATGATATTCTATCCCTCATGGATAGATCAGATCCGTTCGAAAGATAATATTTGATTTCTTGACAACGCAGAGTATTTCCTATTCTGGAAGAGCGCTTCAATTCACAGTCAAAATGCACGATTCCTGTCAAAGCAAGCAACCCATTCAAAGGGGGAACAAATCAATATGGCTGTCGCTATGACTAAGTATCAGCTAAAACAACATCAATGCAGTTCAGAAAGAAACATAGAAACTCAGTGAGGGCAAATAAAATAGAAACTATAATATAACCTAGTAATAATCAGTCGAGAAATCTGTTTTAGACACTCTCATCGGTGTATATAATTTAGGCACTGGGATAGCTATCGTTATCTGCCCGATTTGGTTAAACTAGTGTCCTTATTTATATGAAGGCAAGCCAATGGGTAGACTGAGAATAAGGCAGGTGATGAACAGATGTTCGCACTGATTCGAAAATCGTTCAACGTTAACAGCAAATAGAAATCTAAGTTCATGGCGAAATACACTTGAACTGATATAAACAGGCAAAAGTGCGAAAAGCTGGAAAGTGACCAGCAGTCATTCAAATGTCACCCAAAATTGTTTCAAAGCTCGACGTTGTACAAACGATTTTTCGTCGTGGTGATTAACCACCGAATATCGAATCGTAGTCGACATTCATAAGCAACTTTGAGAAGTCCGCGTAGTTTACGGCTTCTGGACGTTTAAACATAGGGGTCTTTGAGAAACGCACCATCTTATCCTCCACAAGATAAAATCTAAGTGGATACTGAAAATTAATGACAGATTACTTCAATCAAATTGTTAGTGTTTTGATGTAAAGTGCATACATGGATATGCTACAAATACAAAATGCTAGTTCGTTAGCTCATTTGTACAGCCTGGAAGATTAGAGGACATATAACGCTGGGAGTTTTAGACATGAATTTTACTTATAGACGACTTCAAGGCAATGATCAGTGCAGAGTAAGCTTTAGAACCCTCCTCGATGGCAGGAGAGAGAAAAGACCAAAGGGATTCAGTAAGCAAGGAAGTACTATATCAGTTTACTCCTTCGTGTGGTTTCAGTCAGAGTTTGCGTCTGCCTGACTCAAGGATGACCAACAAAGTTCTTTGAAAATGTACGAACTAGCTTCAGAAATCATTCTATAAATAAGCGAATAGTAAGTGTTCCAACAGTTCATATTCACTGACAGTAGGTATCTCATCCCGGTATTACAGTTTTTCTTGTGAAAGTTAATTTTGTAACTTGACATATTCTCACTGTCTCAGTAAAATACCGATGGTTTCATAACAGATTTCTGAATGGCTTTTGTTATGCCGTTGACGTCACACCTGTCTCCTCCTACCATTACTTGTTTTTTTGCTTACTTACCCCACCTCTGATCTCATGCTGATAGGAACCCAGCCGCAACGGATAATGCGGTTTAAGTAGCACATAAAGGCTGGAGTGAACCATTCATTTACTCCAAGAGCTAATATATTATCAAGTAATTTTATATAATTAGCTAGCTGTAACAAAGTGAAGTCCTTTTAAACCTCGCAGTAGTGGCCTTGAAGAGCCTTTGCTGCCAGGATTGTGAAAAAATATACCACCTAATTTTTTGCAGGTCCATACACCCCCGTTTAGAGTAAAGAAAGACAGAGTTCCTTATTTCATCCTTAGGGGATAACAATGTTTTTGAGCTTATCTAGAACTAGGTAGGAAGTAAACCCATATAATTCACTTTAAACCTCATAATGAATGCATTAAATCCATGAATATTAACCCTTAATAATATAATCTACTCAGAGGTTCACTTGCAATGTTGGAGCTGTGAGACGTCGTACTCAGCTTTTAATTTCATTCGGCGTTACGTAATGTCTGAAAATATCTATCGAAATATCTACCGAACACCTGGAACCGTAATGAAAGAACGAGAATTGAGCGCAAAGAAATCAACTGTTTTATACTAGCTCGTGAAAAAAATATTGGATATTGTGTACCACAGTTTGAAATATCTGTGATTTGTCCTTGAGGGGCTGTGTCACATTCAACCTTGATGGCATCGTGGGAAGATCAGTTAGGTTCGGATGTGCCTGTTACTACTAAATTCTCTCAGCTGGATGTAAATGCACCCGAATTTATACCTGGTCAACCGTATATCTACAAGCCATCAGATGTAATTCCTTCTAATGCAGGTAGTGAACTACCAGCTCAAACTCTAGAATCCAATAATACGCTTGAAGAAGGTAGATGTTTAAACACTATGGAATGACGCTATTCTCAGAAATAGAAGTTAAACCTGTGAAAAACGAAGAAGCTGTTATAAATGTACGTAATTTACTATTCTCACAGTAGTTTCCTAGACGACCTCTGTCGTTCCGGATAAAGACACACTTAATCTGGTATTTATTGGACATGTCGATGCCGGAAAATCAACAATTGGAGGCCACCTATTATACCTAACAGGTATGATCTACTTTTCTGCTTGGTAAAAGCTTTTAGGTATGGTAGACAAGAGGACTCTTGAAAAATATGAGCGTGAGGCTAAAGAAAAAAATCGGGAAAGTTGGTATCTGTCATGGGCTTTGGATACAAACCCCGAAGAGCGCGACAAAGGTAAAACGGTTGAATGCGGTCGTGCCTACTTCGAAACCCCTAAGAAGCGATTCGTCTTGATTGATGCTCCTGGTCATAAATCGTATGTACCCAACATGATATCAGGTGCATCAGTTGCTGACATCGCTATACTTGTGATATCAGCTAGACGTGGAGAGTTCGAGACAGGGTTTGACAAGGGCGGGCAAACCAGAGAACATGCTTTGTTAGTTAAAACTGCCGGTGTTAAGCACTTGATTGTGTTAGTCAACAAAATGGATGATCCAACTGTTTTGTGGGATGAGACTCGCTACACGGAATGCAGAGACAAAATTTTACCATATCTGAGGAAGATAGGGTTTAACACAAAGAATGATGTTCACTGCATGCCATGTTCGGGATATGATGGGGCGTTTCTTCGGGATATTCCAAATGAGTCTGTCTGTTCGTGGTTCAGAGGTCCTAGTTTGCTGGAATACCTAGATAGTCTGCCCAGCTTTCCACGATGTACAGATGGTCCTTTAAGACTTCCTGTTTCCGACAGATACAAAGATATGGGTACATTCGCCTCTGGAAAAGTTGAATCTGGATCAGTATCGAAAGGCCAAACGATTGTCTTATTACCCAATAAATTGAATGTGGAGGTCATGCAGGTAAACCTCATTGCATTACTAATAAACTATTTAAGTGTAAAGTCTAATGTGTACAGCTAGTAGTATCCTAAATTCCTTCTTCATTTCTACTATTTGTATCACTATGACAAAAGAGTGACGTAATGGACACTATCCTTCGGAAAACTAACTAAGCACACGACTAACCAAAAGCGCCACCCACCTGACAAAATCAAGTAACGTGCTATTCCAAAAGTAGGTACATTCCGTTTCTGTATTGTAAACAACTGTTTTTCGTACCTTCTGAAATGAAAGTAGTTTAGTTATCCTAATATCCCTACATTTCATTTCTCACCAGCTGTCTCATTATGACACTGAATTCTGTCCGTCTGTCAAATGTCTCATACAATTTCTTGGTAACATTTGGCGCTGAACTAAGTTTGTCTATCTGCATAATCGTTAGATCTGTGTGAAACAATTTGCATGGATTGTGGTAATACTAAATATTGAACCTCAGATTTCATATCATTTCGCACCAAACGTCAGCGAGTTAGTAAGATACTCTAATCAGTTTTCACTCATGATGTATCACAGGGAGTCAGCTGATTGACTTGCACTATAACTGTATCAACAAATATGGGTGTGTCTGGCACTAAATATCATCTTAAACTGAACATTTTCGCCCGTAATTAGTGCTTTATTTCTGAATTTCAGTAGTCTTCATAAAAACGAAGCAGTTGTGTGAAAACAATATATTCTTATCTTCCAAAACAACCTCTAATGAGTACCAAATAGTTCCGTGTATGCCGTCTACCCCAATTACTTGCTAGAATACAATGTGTAGTTATTCAATCTATATATGTGCTGTACTGTTGGTAGCTACTCAATGTGATAATTTCAGACTCATAACTATAATACAGTCCACCGACCAGTCAGTCAGTTACAATGTAGAACTTCTCGTACATCAGTTCGAGTCGCCATACCACATTAGCACAGAGACGCAATTTTCAGTTCAAATCCCATAGTGAATATGTAGAAGATTAGGGTCCGAAGATATTATTCAAGAAGTATAATTCAGTGAGACAAATTTAAAAGGAGAAAGGTATAGGTGATGACAAATTCAGATTGGAATTTCATAGGACACAACGAGTGGGTGCCATTGCAAGCGGTTTTATGCCATGTCGTTCAAGGTCTCCAACCAACGGTGATGTTTGTCCCGCAGACCCCGATCAGGTTGTATTCATCTACCAACATGACTCAGTCCACTTGTCAGGAACCTCATGGATTTGTGTCATGTTTTAGTTTGGCTACCCCTAGATTTCTTCCAAACTAGTCCTACGTCGCTAAATATGGTTCGTCGAGATAGTCAGTGGTTGGGCATTCGTAACACACGTCCTAACCACCACAATTGATGGTTTCATTACTTCATATATTGATCTGCCATCCCTACCTAGTACCCGTTTCCTAACGACAGCTCACTCGATTCTCCCATGATACACGAGCAGTCCTTCTAAGACATCTATGATCGAATACTGATAACCAATGAATATCTTCAACTCTTACCGGCCATGTTTCACAGCCATAAAGTAGGAGGGAGCAAACTGTTGCGCAGTACACTCACACTTTGGTTAACAAACAGATATCTCGCCTACGCCATAAGTAACGCAAGTTGGCAAAAGCCAATCGAGCCTTCTGTATCCGTGCTGAGATTTCGTCAGACACCAGCACTGATGAGACTCCCGAGGTAAGTGAAGCAGTCGACACGCCCAACTGATTCACTCCCTATCAGTAGTTCAGGTGCCGATGCAACCCAATCCTGAAGCAACATTTTGCATTTCGAGGGGGGAAACCGCATCCCGAACATGCTTGAATTGTTGCTTAATGTAATGAGGAGACTGTGCACATTGTTCACCATATAGAACTGTGTCATCAGTATATTCTTAGTCAACCAGTGAATCTCCTGATAGAACGCCCACTCCTGAAAAGTTTGACGAGCATGTTAACTGTGAAAGCATGGAGAAAGTGGACAGTCCTGACGGACACCACATGAAGTAAAGAATTTCGATGACAGTTCGCCATAAGCTCTAACTCAACCTGTAGTGTTCGAGTAGAGAGCTTTTGTAAGGTTAATGAACTTTGGTACACCTCTCAGTGACAGACACTGCCACAGAACCTCGCGATCCACAGAGTCAAAAGCCGCCTTAAGGTCCAGGAAGTCAACTATTGTCGGACGCCTAAATGTGTCTGTGTTACAAGACCTGTCATAGTGTAAAAATGTGGTCCATACAGCCACGTCCAGGTCGAAAACCAGCCTGGTTTTCTCTAGTCTGCTCTTCACGAGCTCTGGTTAGGCGTCCAAGGATGACCGAGGTGAACAATTTAGAAACTATATTGTTAGACTGATTCCCCTGTGATTGTCACAAGAAGACTTTTGTCCTTTCTTATTTACTGGGACAACTAGGAATTGAGACCAGTCATGTGGGATTATGCCCAGTTCTTAGATTCTACCCACGACCTCTGTCAATCTGTGTTAAAATTGGACCACCGTCCTTAAAACTTTCAGGGGTCAATCTATCAGGTCCTGCTGCCCTCTCCCACTTCAGATTTTCTATCGCTTTCTCAACTTCATAAAGATTCGGAGGACTTGTCTCGGTTTCCATCCAGGGTGACTGGAGGTCATGGGCAGCTAAATTGTTGCTGTTGGCCAATTGAACTGATACCTAAAGTGTTCTGCCCATCGATCCAATCTCCTGGATTGAGAATAAATAATAAGACCATCCTTTTCCGATATAGTTTCACTCGCATTCGGGTTCCTAATACTGCTTTCCTTGATGAGTCTGAATAGTATTCTAGTGTTTTCTATCGCCGCTGAGTTTTCCATCTCTCTCGGTTTCGCTACCGTCACTGTTCTCGATCATTGCGAAGGTTTTCTATCATCCTGCGCCTAAGGTAACTCCGCTACTCATCGCACTCACAGCCAGGTGGGATGAGCTTGCGAACATCCATCAGTTCGGTAGATGCTACTGAAATCAACGGCTTCTCCCTAACCTTATGGTTTACCTTACTAGAACATATCCCTGCTGTTTCCACAGCTTCTTTGATATCATCCTAAGCTGCCTCATGGTGGGCATCACTTACGTGGTCGCCTAACTGTTTTTCTAGTTGATCCTGAAATATATTATTAGCTTTATTATCATTAAGTAGAGCCCTGAGAGGTCTCCTTGCGATATTTTTCCTACGTCCGGTGAGACGCAAACAAATACCCTCGCACCAGAGCATGGTCTGAGTCTAAACTAGTGCTCCAGAATGAGCGGCAGTCCTCAATAAAGCCTCTCTACTGATGTCGATGTGATCTATTTGGGTCAGCTTTAAGGATCGCCAGGTCAATATATGTTTTTCCTTATGCTCAAAGTTAGTGTTTGTTAGAAATAGGTGGTTGTCTGAGTATAGTTGCAGCAGACAGTCGCCATTATCTGTTCTGTTAGCCGCGGCACCATAAGAACCATCAAGGTGTCTTTCCTTAACACTTAGTCTACCTACTTGAGCATTGAAGTCACCATCCATTATTACTAGATCAGAGTGCCTAACTTTTTGGAGGTCCGAAAGCTTTCTGTATAACTCATCTTTCACCTCGTCTGAACTGCAGTCAGTGGAGGCATAAGCAGATACGACGAAGAAGCAACGGTGAGTGTCCTTATCTTTCCGAGTCCTTACTGACCCGTTTAGTCGGACAGCGCACAAATGACAACTGGGATCCAGTCTAAAAGACCAAGTTCTGCCCCAGCACTTAATGCTGTGTCTGCGCCGACGAGACCACGGAAGGTAGCTTCAGGGCTACCTGAAACACGAAGTATAAACCGTGGTGTGTCTCTACCTGCACCAAGTGAAATCATATTGATGATTTTATTCCGATGCGCGTTTTGGAGACACAACATACATCGATCGCCTGGGATCCCAGAGTTCTAGCTAGTGAAGCCTGTTTCCCTGTTTGGCACAGGGTTCGGACATTAAAAGTTCCAATATGTAATTTATTACGGGTTTCAAGAGACCAGGAGTAATGTTTCGTGAACTCATACCGTTTGTTTCAGTGGTGTGAGGTGATAAGCGATCGAAAGAAGGTTTGGTCGAGGAGATAAGAGAGTTATTAAGAGGTATGTAACCAATTTGGTCTCGTGTGCTTTTATGAATCTGAGGGCAGATGTAACTTCCCGGCTGCCCACACCGTGGAAGGCTACTGGTTGTTAGAAGTGGCATCAGTCTCATGACTTCCGGAGGAACTCGGCTTTCATCATGAGACGTCATAATTCTTCTAAATGAAGACCTTTTAGCTCCCAGAGCAAAGTTTATATGGTTTGAATTATTTCTTATTGTTAGCGTTTTTTGGCAAGTAAGTTTTTTCCGGGATGGGGTCGTCAGTCCTCATCTCAACCCTCCTCCTTTATCCAGGCTTGGGACCGGCAGTAGCCCCGAAAGTGTCTACAGGCGGAGTTGTTAATATGAGTTGGCTTGGAATGTTCTTTCTTGGATTCAAACTTGTCGTAGTTTGAACCCATATAAATGCAAATGAACATCACGATTCTGTACTTATCGGAATACCATGTAACTAGGGTTCTGGAGGACCAAGGTAAACGAAACTAAACAAGAAAACGTTACCGAATCAACTCAAAGAGTTTTTAGGACCGTACTTGTGCATTTCAAAATCCTTGTCTAGCTATTACACTACCTAAAGAGTATATATATATATATATATATATATATATATATATTATAAGGGTATCTATAGTATCCCTTTATGTTTGGTGTAACTATAGACACGGGTCCTGATTGGCACAAAATCTCATACAACCGTACACCAGCTTCAGCTGCCATAAATCCCTTTCGAAGCAAGCAAGTTATCAAATTAGACTAAGACTAAACATAGAAATTAATTTTTCATGTTTTAGTTTGTTGTGGTAAATACTTAGTTTTAGAAGCCCGATATAAGCTTACAAATCATGTCTTGTTAAGTTTGGCTTTCATCAGTGACACTAAAAATCAACTAAATGTGTATTTTGGGTTAGCTTTATCTAAAACTGAATGTATCTGACTTTAAAGGTGTATGTTGGAGATACTGAAGTTGATTTCGCGACTGCTGGAGAACATTGTAAGCTGAAACTGAAAAATATTGACGAGGAAGATATCAGTCCTGGATTCTGTTTTTGTTCGGATAGTTTATGCCAGGTAATTATTTTGTAAATTAACTCCTTTTTTCATAGCTTATAAGACCAGCGATTATGATAAAGTATAACATTTGTAGATAGTGCTTAATAACACGCATAAACTACAATGCTCAGTGTGACACAAGTGTTATGAATAAATTCGCCGAATGAAGAAATGCATCACTGCTTGAGTCAGTCAGTCAGCTACAATGTAGAACTTCGTTCGTACATCAGTTCAAGTTGCCGTACCACATTCACACAGAGACTCAGTTGTCAGTTCAAACCCTCTAATGTGATGGATAGTAAACTTATTAGTGGTAATGGGGAATATTAGGTTTCAAAGATATTCAAAAAGCGAAATCTAGTGAAATAAAGGTGATAAAGGTGATAAATTCAGAAGATTAAAATTTCACAGAGCACAACGAGTGGATGCACGTGCGCCATTGCAAACGATTTTGAGCCATGTAGTTTAAAGTCTCTAACTATCGATTACTATCGTCTCGCGGACCCCAATCAGGTAGTCTACACTTACTAACATGGCTCAGTCCACTTGTCAGTGACTTAACACTTGTTTTTGTCATCCAGCTAATATAAAAGAAAAGAATTGAAGAACCAATAATGAATTTTTTTGTTATAAACGCTTTTTCTCCCTGACTAAACATTCATTATAATTCAAATAGAGTCAAACGAAGTCGTAATCAGTAATAGAGTGATAGTTCTAATTTTCTCGTATTTGTATAAATGTACACGTTGAGTTGTTCTATCACAGTATAAACTAAAAAATTTAGAACCCTACGCAACCATTTTATTTATTCTTTTGTAATTTACAGGTTTCAAATCTATTTGATGCGCAACTACTGATTACGGAGTACGATTCTATCATTTGCCCAGGATTTATGGCTGTACTTCATATTCACTCATGTGTAGAAGAAGTACGTATAAGTAAAATCGGCTGTCAGTTAGATAGAAAAACAAATCAGTTGCTAAAAAAGACTCCCAGATTTATCAAAAAGGATGATGCTGCTATTGTACGGCTCACGGTAAGAAATAATACATATGCGCCCATATAATTTTGATATAGTTGAGAAAATTCTCAGCTCATGTGGATGATTATTGGGGAGTTTCGTTCACTTCTACGTGAAGTTTATGCTAATCATGTTGTTCAGTAACACAATAAAAGCTCTATGACCAAACTATCCAGCTCAGAGAACGAGACTTCACGATAATGCTGATTATCTATCATGATAAAGTATTATCCTTTTCAGTAATAGTGTCTTGTGCATAGTATATACGATCCTATCCCATCTTTTGAATGAGATGATATGGCATAAAAATGATAAATGTTGATTGTCTAATGATTCTTTCCGCATTGTAACACTCGATGGTAATATTTCTTATGGTGTTAAGATAATTATGAACTGTTCACAATCTACTAGCATAGCTGAATTTCAGGAACTATATGGACTATGTGAAAAATAAGATATTGAGTCGTTGTTACTTTGTATTGGGAATCAGTCGACAAATTGGATGATTGTTTCCACCTTCAAATGACTTAAATGTTGTAATCTAATAGTTGTGCAATAGTTGTTGATGGTTAGCCTCAACCAGGTCGTCTACACCTACTAACGTGGCTCGATTCAGTTCTCAGTGACTTAACCTCAGCCTACTACGTTATTGTGGTCAGATATCCTTGTTGGTTGTCATTCGTAAAGCTTTGGAAATATATTTAGTCACTTTGTAGATGTTCTTTAATTGTGTGTATGCTGCTCTTGCTTTGCCGATCCGCGCCTTCACATCTGCATCAGATCCACTTTGCTCATCATTCATGCTGCCCATATATGTCAATGTGTCTACATCCCCCAAAGCTTCTCTGTCACTTGTGATTCGGTTGGTGCATGTTGTGTTATATCGTAGGATCTTGCTTTTCCGTTGTGTATGTTGAGACCTAGTGCTGCCGAAGCTGCTGCTACGCTGGTTATCTTCTGCATTTGTTGGTGTTTGTGGGATAGAACAGTAAGTCATCTATAAAGTCCAAATCGTTCAGCGTCATCCAAGCTGTTCACTTTATTCCGTGCTTCCGCTCAGATTTTGACGTCTTCATTATGCAGTTGATCACCAAGAGAAAGAGAAAGCCTGCGAGTAAGCTACCCTGCCTAACACCGATCTTCACTTGGGACATTTCTGTGATTTGTTGTTCATGCACGGTTTTTCAGTTAAATACATCTTCTCAGGCAAATTATAGTATCAAATAAGCCTCTATAGTGCCATCAGTTTCATACTTTCGAATGCTTTCTCATAGTCAAGGAAGTCGACATAGGCTTGGAACTTATTGTTGAGAGCTCTCTAGAATTCGTTTAGTTTTTTAGTATCCCAAAGAAATTCCGTACTGAACTTTTGTGATGTTTTTCACCCAAAAGTATAGTACTTCTTGAATTTCCGTTTCATTTTGGCATCCACCAAGTGGTGACCTGAATTTATGTCAGCTCTCTTCGTTATCACATCCTTCATGGTCCTACTGAATTTTTATTGATGCAAATGTGATCGATTCGGTTCTGTGTAGTGTGATCCAGTGAAACCCATGAGCGTTACCTATAGACAGATAGACAGATACAACGCAGAACTTCATACGTAAGTACATCAATTCAGGTTGCCATGCCCCATCAGCACAGAGACGCAACTGTCAGTTCAAATCCAACAGTGATAGCAATAATAGAAGCATTAGCAGTAATGGAGAAGATTAGGGAGCGAAGATATGATAGCGTGATGCTTATTCGCGTAAAATGACTGGAGAAATTTCAGATATTTTCTATTAGTTTTTATTTCACGTACAAAGTACATCCGTCGTTATTGTGTTTAATTTTTATTATAACATTTCTTCTTAGAAATCATTTTGAAGGAATACTATTTTCCAGTGACCAGTTATCGAGAATACCTTATACTTTATACTCATTATGTTAAATATCCGAAATTGAGTATCCTCTGATGTTGACTTAAATTTAAAGTTAATGTGTCCTGAATAAGTAGAAAATGGGTTTTCTTTATCGATAAAACTATTCCCAAAATTTACTAGTTCAATGGATACCACAAAATAATGTTTTTCTTTATTCAGTTTGAATAATCAAAGATAGTGTACACAATTTATGATTATTATTGACTGTTCCTGTGCTTATCCTCAAAGCTTCATTCAATAGCGAAATAGACTGCTGTTCATAATCGGCATATGTAATAGGACAAAAATGGATTACATAAAATGATTTATGTAATGACTGCAGTAATAAAGGAAATTGATTTCATACGACTGTTAGTGGATAATCTTATCAATCTATCAGATAATTAAATAGGCTTTTTATCAGCCTGCGCCTGAGTTGACTTCGTTCTTCATCATGTTCAGAGCCAGGTGGGATGAGTTTTCGGGCATCCATCAGATCCGTGGATGCTACAGAGATCCACGGCTTCATTCTAGCCTTATGGTCAACCTTACTAGCAGATATCACTGCTGTTTCCACAGCCTTTTTGATATAATTCCAACCTGCCTCCGGATGGGAATCGCTTAAATGGACTGTCTTTCTAGTTGTTACTGAAATATATTCTTCGCCCTATTATCATTAAGTAAAGCCCTCAGAGGCTTTCTTGCGGTGTCTTTCCTGCGCCCAATAAACCTCAAACAAATTCAAGCTCGCACTAGGGCATGATCTGAATCTAAACATGTGCCCAGAACGCGCGACAGTCCTCTATCGAACCCCTCCATCGGTGGCTGATGGCGATGTGATCTAGTTGGGTCGAACGTTGAGACGACTTTGGAGGTCGCCAGGTCAACAGATGCTTTTCCTTATGCCTAAAGTTAGTGTTTCCTAAGAATAGGCGGTTGTCTGTGCATACTTGTAACAGACGGACGCCATTGTCTGTTCTTTGAGCCACGACACCATAACATCCACCTATGTGTCTTTCATTTTCACTTAGTCTACCTACTTGAGCATTAAAGTCACTAGCCATTATTACTATATCAGAGCGCCTTCCTTGTGAGATGTCAGCATCGCTGCAGATGCTGGTTGTCCGAGGGAAGCACCTTACTGCTGTAACCCCCTTCTGCAGTCAGCAGTACGACTTCGCCCTCATACCTTGGGTAGCTGCTTTTACTCTCATCGTTCTCCAATCGACCTTCCTGTCATGGTAGAACCTTCAGGAACATATGTTCCAGCCAGTATGGCTCAGCTAGGTCATCGCGATTGTCAAGCTCGACCACCACGTCTAGGTAGCAGCTACGGTCGAGCGTTACCTATATTCAATATAAATATCAACCCTCTTACCGTGAATACAGATAAGACATGTATCAAATTTCATCAAGATGCTGCGCTTTATTACGCGTGGGCAAAATAATCATATCCATTATTAATCGAGTTTCTTGAACTTCTTTTGCCATGCATCTCAGATGTCGTAGCAGCGCCTAACTCAATTGAACTTTGTTTATCGAAATAACTTGCATGAGATTCATAACCGTTTTTTCTGTTTCATCTTGACTTCGTGAAGAACTCTCGATTTCATCTGAACTAACTTATACGGTTAATGTAACTAAAAATTCAGATTGATTATAACAGCATTATTTCCGTTTATTTTGCCAAAGAATCACTAACTATCTCTTCACAATCTTTAAACTCCAAACTAGCAAGTCATATTTGGTTTTCACTATCTAGCATCGTACTCTTCCTTTCTAATGACCAAAACCAAACATATTTTGGAGTCTACGTCATGTTCGGCGTCGAGACTAACTATTTGTGATGGGCTGCGATGACATCGTTATTTATGACTTTCTAGTTTGCTATGAAATAAATCTCTCCTTCAGTTCCCTTATATCATGCTTATGCGAACCCTGTTTGTGCGACGGGGGTAATTTGGTGCCAAATACGGATCCGGTTGGATGATTTTATATCAGGCAATCATTCGTTCATATAGGCATAAGAATACAAAGCGTCAAAGCAAAGTAGAAAAGGCAAGTGGTTCAAATGAATTTTGATGAGGCATGATTAAGTATGTATAATCAGTCAAAAATGAGCCGTATGTGCGATAAACAAAGTAAGCGCCACATACACACCAATAAAAGCGGCTAAGATATGAGCAAATAATAGACAAGGTCAAAATATTCTTCCTTGGTTTTGGTTATCGTCATTTGGAAAACGTTTTGCATGTTTTGTTGTGTTAAGTGTCAGCAGTTAGTAATTTTTATAAATTTCCAATACTAATGTATCTATACTTAACTTTTGTAGGTTCTAGGCGGACCAATTTGTCTAGAGAAATTTAAAGACTTTCCACAACTAGGACGTTTCACTTTACGCATTGACGGAAAAACAGTTGCCATCGGGAAAGTTATGAAAATTTTGGAATCTGCTAATCCCGATTAGTGAGATTGTATATTTTTAATCCACTAAAATATTATTATCCGGTTTCGTAAATGTGGTAATGATCTTTGATTTTTCATTTAAATGTGATTTGAAAAGTCGACAAGTGTCCATTTGCAATAATTTAATCATTTTTATCTGCAGCTTTCGTTTGTTTATCAATTTTGATGAACAAGATTTTGTGTTATTGAAATAAGCTGTACGAATTCGCTGATGTGCTGTATCGAAAATGTTTTTTGATGATAAAATTAATTATAAGGTAACAGTACTCTTCTCGCAAACAATCTTATTAGGGCAAACCTTTTAGAAGCTTATCGAGTTGTCAAAGTAATCCAAAAATTTATTCTGACTATAAATATATAGTTATCGTTGTTTTTCCCAAAGATTGACAAACTAAATTTAGCTTGCCATATTATGACTTTGAAATCTTTTCCGTGATCATCACCCTGTTATTGTTAGTTGATTCAAAAGAGTATCTTGAGTTCAACTGTTACTAAGCTGTGCAACTTTAGTGTTGCTAATTATAGAACCTAAGCATAATCACTGAAATTATTGAAAGAAAACATTTCACAACATAACATGTATCCCCTTGGCATGCCGATATGTATGTATTCTCTTTAGAATGGTAGATGGTCATCATTATTACTTACTGCTGCTGACTGCCTCTTATGCGTTACATGTATATCGCTAGTAAATAAACTTTTATCCACGCACTTCATGACATATACGTATAAATATAATCACGCCCAGGGAATGTTCATGGTCACCCCTACTCAGTATCTGATATCCGTTTGATATTTTCCGCATACCTCTTTCAAATTTTACTTTACTTATTTTTTATTTGACGTAGGGAAGTCTCAGTCCGTCTGTTACAACGTAGAACTTTATACCTATATACATCAGTTCAGTTTGCCATACAACATTAGCACAGAGACGCAATGGTCGATTCAAATCCCTTAGTAGTAGAGGTATTAGCAGTAATCAAAGAGATAAGGGATTAAAGATATTATTCAAGATGTACTATCTATTGAAGTAAACTTAAAAAGATAAAGGTGATGAAGAATCCAGAGGATTAAGATTTGAGAGAAACCAAAGAATGGATGCATCTGCGTCACTAAACGGTTTTGAGCCATGTCGTTCAAGGTCTCTAACCATCGATTTCTATCGTCTTGCGTACCCCAATCAGGTAGTCTGCATCTACCAACATGGTTCAGTCCACTTGTCAGTGACTTGATGGATTTGTGCCATATTTTGGTGTTGTTCCCCTAACTCTCTTCCAGCCCACCCCTACACCAGGTATCATAGCTCGTCGAGGTAGTCGGTGGTTGGTCATTTGTAACACACGTTCTAACCACCTCAACTGAGGTTCGACTATTTATTTCACCTATTCATCTACCATCCTTACCTAGTACCTGATTCCTAACAACCGCATTGTCCCAAGATAAACTAGCAATACCTATAGGGCAGGTTGTTAAGCTTTAATTCTTTCTTCATAGTCCGGTGCATAGCATTTACGTGTACCTACACATGAACTACATAAGCCGAAACTGATGCAATTTTTATATGCATGCGAACACGTCGGACAGCTTAGACGAGTGGATTTCAAATGATCGAGAGAAAGCTGCCTTTAAACTCAACTTTCATTCCAGACTATCTAACAGAGCTCACCCTATTACACAGTAGCGCCACGAAGATGCCTTGGGTCATGTTTGCTGAAGTTTGTTCTTCCCCCTGACCTTTCCAAATATGATGAACATGTTTACAGTCAAATGTATGTTCGAGTGACCGAGCCCTACCTTCTCTATTAGGTGTTCGACGGCCAATACAAGTTTTTTCGGTTATTTTATGCATAGTTTCAAGGGATTTGTGGTTATGAACTAATGTCACTTCATGTTCGTTGGGATTGTTCTATTCCAGTGCATTTTGAAGCAGCCTACCTGCCTGTTCTTTTATTCTTAGCCACGAGTGGTTAGATTTCCATTGTTGCGTGGATTCATGGTAGATATCCTGTAAGTGTTCTCAGGAGAGTATTTGTGCAACTACTCATTCGCTTGTCACAAACATAAGGTTGTATCTCCGTTATTTGAATAGTCCACCATGTCTATCGAAATATCCTAAACATTCCATTTACCTACACTAATTCTTGATCTAGTAGTCATAAGTCCTGGTCTCGTGATTTTTGAAAAATTTCAACCTTCATCGTGTACTGATATAATTCACTTGAATGATCGTGTTATATTGAGATCCAAGCCGACTAACTTTTCCTATCATATTAGTCGGCAGCAGGATTAAGACTTATGAAATACACTTGGACGTGAACACAATAATATGTTTATCCTGAGAAGTAAAAGGTCATATACAATAACCACGCGAATATAACCAAAATACGCTATCTAGACTGTTCAATGGCCGATATAGTTCTTCTAAGTTATAGTATGCTTAGCTTCATAGACCGTGTAGTTGAGAACTAATGCCACTACAAGGACACTTCGACTCCCAACACAGAGAACAAATGGTTAAAATAACCACGGAGTTGCTAACCTCATACCCAGTCGTACTTTTTACCTGCTCGTAATCGGCAGGAGCCCTAAAGTGGCTGCAACTGGACTTCTTGTAGTTAGTTATCTACAGACCATTCCACAGCAATTTTTTCAAAGGGTTAATTTGTTTACTTGAAGTGATGTAGCAAACAAGTTCGGATATCAGCCAAATTTTCAGGCTGAAGGTAAATATTAATGATTTAAACTGAACTTTAGAAATACTATTCAATTTAAAGCATTCACAACTACGATTTGTCATATTTTCATCGATAGTTAGTGCTAAACATTGAAGACGGGTCACCGAAAAGTTAACTGGATGAAGTGTTAGTCTTCTGGCATGACGTTACTCGTGGGCATAGTCAGTGTGAGACAGCAACATTGAAGACGTGCATAACTATGCTTACAACTAGTAGACCAATTTCAAAAATGGTGACCACGGTGATGCGTACCCTAGCATCGTGTCTGATCAGCCAGACTTTCTTCGCATCATTTTGCTTACTTGTAAGTAGTTTAACTAGATTAGAAACTTTATTATCAAAAGCATAGGTTTAAAACCCTGAAACAAGTATTTTGTCTGTTCTCGAAATCTGTTTTAATTAATAAACTTGTAGTTCGTTTTGAACGCCTATTCTGAAGTTTAACTAACAGACTTAGAAAAAGCATGATATCTTCTTGTGTACACCATCGTAATGTAACTCACTAAATGGAGTGGTCATTGATTCTAATGGTTCATGATAAACACAAACGCATTCAGAAAAAGATCGAAAATAAGGTGGTATCAACATGTTTACTTTATTTGTGAGGATGGATTCAGTCTGGTGCTTATGGATTTGAATCCGAACAATTTCCACACTACAAATATTCTAGGATATAAATTAAGATATCAGTTCAGTGAAATTGTATGAACAATAATTTCGTGTAAAACAAACGGCGATCATGCGGAACTCTGGACTGGTGGTCTGTACGAACTAGCAAACTTTGCTTAGAGGTATACTTTTTGTAGTATAAATTAACTCAATCCATTCTTCTGGTCTCAAAGTATTGAAATCCGAGGCTTTAAGTATTCAACAAATGATCACAATGTAGTGGTTGTAATGAATGATTTTATCTATTGTTCCTCAGAGCACATCCTTTGTCGTCCAAATATATGGTTAGGGATGATACTTGCGAGACCTAGCTTGTTGTGCTGTCCATAAAACTACGATTTCAGATTTTTCTCCAAATGTCATCCAAGACAAAAGCTGTAGCACCAATCTTTTGATCATTGTTTATATAATGGATCTGTGAATACAAAAGCTAGAGATGCTTAGTGTACACAAACCATACATTAGGTATTACAAGTTCAAAAAACTACGTTCATCATTGTGATAAGTGTTTAAGTTTCATGTTCTTGTATTTTCGTGGCATCAGTCGGCACTGAATGAACTGTGGTTAGGACAAGTGTTAAGTATGGCTAACCACCGACTGCCGCGACGAGCTATGTTTTGTGGTGTAGGAGAAGGTCGGAAGAAAGCTAGAGGAGACCAGACCAAAGTATGGAAGAAATCCATGAAGTCACTGACAAGTGGACTAAGTCATGTTGGTAGATGTAGACTACCTAGTTGGGGTCCACGAGACGAAAGTCACCAATGGATAGAGACCTTGCACGCCATGGCTCAAAATCGCTTGCAATCGCGCAAGTGCATCCATTCATTGAGCTCTCTCAAATCCTAATCTTCTGGATTCGTCAGCACCTCAACCTTTGTTTTTGTAACCTAATCTCACTGAATTATACTTCTACGAACCCCAGTCTTCTTCATTACCATTAATACCTCTATCTTGATCACTATGGGATTTGATTCGACATTTGCGTCTCTGTGCTCATGTGGTATGGCAACATGAACTTATGTACATACGTACGTAGTTCTACGTTGCAACTGACTGACTGAATCCTATCGCACTTGAAATCATAAAAACAAAACTGTCATAAATTGAAAGTATTATTATAGTAAAATTGTTTATACTGATAATTGTAACAAAAAGCATATCAAGAAATTTAGAATCTAAGTTGTGTATTTGTATGCATATATTGATGGAAGTGATTAATAATAAGTCTTCCAATAATAAAAAATTTAAATGAACAATATCATGAAATGGATATTGGTTGATTTTTTTAAACATACAACCAAAAAGAGAAGAATCAAACTCGTATTTCACTGTCAACTTATTAAACGGAAACTATCCTAAAATTGACTAAACAATAATCATTAGTCTGTTCTCCTACTAGTAGTATCATTATTTTTTATGAAAAATATGTCATCGAACATGTAAAAGTAAAAAAAAAAGGTAGTGTATAATATCTCCTATTATTCCTCTTTCATCTTTTATACAAAGTGAACAGTAAATTTATTGTGCAACTGAATAACTGATTAAATAATAATTGACTGAAGTTAATGAAAAGATTATCAAAATATTTAATACATTTTTTGAGACGAGGCAAATCAAAAGAAAATAGCATTGACAAAACATAAGAGAAAACATGATTGAAAGCAAACAATTGAGTTTAAAGACATTCTCGTGTTGGATTTTATGTATCCGTAGAGGAAGAAATTTGATTATTTGAATAAACATCAGTAAAAATACTGGTCAAAATGAGACAAAGATAACTTCAAAAAATGGATTTAATAGATATCTATTTCTCAGGCAAGGTAGAAATCAAAATCCATACGATGGACAGTTATGGATGAACGAAGATTTATAAATATATATAAAGATAAAAAACACCTAAATGTCTTTTGAGATTTGGTAGAGATGAACATTTTCCAAATATTATTAGTTTAGGTCTAAAGTGTGGAGATAGTAGGAAATCCTGTGACACTGGCCAGAGCAGAATTCAATGCCATACTTCGATTGGCCGAAATAGCGAACAGAGGAATATGATAATACTTGCATGGTACACGTGTACAGCGACCTTTAGCAGCATCACGACATACAGTAACACGTCCTTGATTAACTTCCACATTTTCTAATAAGTTAAGCAAAAATAGTAATGTTAGTTCGTTGTAATCAATCTGACATTTTATCTTGAAGTGCAAACGAACTCAGGTACAGCCAATGTAAACATTAGGATATTGAACTTAAAATCTTTCTTGATATTACATGAACTCAATATATTAATGTTGAATCTAAAAGTAAATATACTCAGTTTCTACTTCAAAAATGACCTCAGTGAAAAATGAAAAACGGACCTGATGAGCACACTGAACCTCAAATTACTTAATGTTGAGCTAAAACAGTGAAGCACAATGAAACTTGCAGAAGAAAAATCCATAAAATTTGGCGTTTATTATATATACATATGTGAAATGTTTCACTCACCGTCAACGAGATGGACATAACGACACTCTGAGTTACGACGACATTTGCCAGCTTTAAAGTCACGACATATTGGCAATGTTTCCAATAGCTGAAATTAATTACGAGAAAATTTCATGAGACCAAAGCACAAAAACAACAGAGCATCTTGTTTTCATTGAAGAGTGTAACAAACAATACTTTACAGTCATTTTATACGACAATATAGAGTATTCGGTCTGAACAGTAAACTGAAGTTCACTTTAAAAGCCTTTTAAGAATAAAATAAAACCCGACAACGACACATTCATAGTCAGCAGTAAGTAACATTTATTGTAGATGATGCCGCTACTCATTTAGTTTCGCATAAAATCTGCTAGGTGACTGCGCATTCTATAACTCAAAAGTAGATTGCTTACAGTAAAAATACGAAATTGTAGCTTATCCATCCAACCATTTAAACTTACAACTTAAAAATTAACTTTTGTGATTGAATATAATCCAACAAACCTTACACATAAGTGTTACCTTATGATTTAGCACACTAACTACTTCAAAGATACTAATTTTGATTAGTACATATGATAGTTGAAGTTAAGAACATTAACAAGTAAACTACATTACATAATATGGTTATAAATTAGTTTAACTTCAATGAGTAATGTCTAACTAAAACCGTACAGATCATTTTAGCTATTATTTTTATGTACACTAATTTTTCATAACGCGAGTAAAACTCAGTATGTTCGACTGTGCAAGGGTAAACTTGTCCACTGACTGTGTTGCTTGGGTTTAAGAGTGAAAGATCATGCAAAAATACAAATAGAACAAGGCAGACTTACATGGCCTTTTTCGTTAACGTAAGCTACATTAGTCATTGGATTCTGTGAACAGAAACTGGTTCCATATGGTCCAGACGAAAGAGTTCCTAATGGACCTGGAACCGGACCTGAAATATAGATATAAAGAAAACTCTTTGAATGCTAATCGATAATTATTGTTTGATTAAAAAAATAGTGCACAGGATATTGATCGGAACAAGTATTTTAGTTAAGTACATACAGTATCATGATTAAACTTGGGATTGAACCTAATTAGCTAGCCGTGCATATATTTGGTATTTGTGCATATGAAAATAAAAGCATTCAAACTAACCAGGTCATTTGGATTGTAAATGACCTCAAATTATTTAACATTCAGACTGGAATGTAATTAGCTACTGTTCATAAATTGTATAAGCAGAAAATAGATGAAATAATATTCTAGAATGTGTGTACATTCAGAATGAATATATAAAAGCGGTAGTAAAATACGTGATTGACTTAGTTATAAAACCTATTTAAGTAGTATATATATATATATGTCAGATCAGTACTTTCTAACTTGCCTAAAGTCAATCATTTCTGTTTCATCGATCCAGATATTACGATGTTAGAATATTTTGATCAAATTTACCTTTATAAATATTAAGGCTACTGTTTGATCACACTTTTTACTGTTAAACTTTAATCCACATCAAAACAAAAGGAAACGCAGTCATGTGGCATATTTTAAAGCATTAAAATAAAGACTAAGTAAACAAGAGACTTGAGAAAAGTATATCTGTTTAGTATAACACTGTAACTGTCTAGGAAAGGACGCTATCATATCAGTTATAACAAAATCAAGCAATCTCAATAACTATCGACACTAGAAGACTTTTTTAATAAAATTATTGTCAGTACTACGTAGTGAACAGGTCGAATATGACTTTTGCACGACAATAGCATGGAAACTTAGCATCTTTACTGAATGCTAGTTATCTTTGATTTCCTTATCATTCAATCAACGCCCCATGTTTCTTGAGAGATAATAGTAGCTTGTTGGTCTTACACTTCTTTTAAAACATTAGATACGAAACCTAATCTCATTGAAAAAGTTCATAGCAAATCCAGATCCTACAAACCTGACGGAAATATCTCGTAAACATTCAATTTATAAATATTGATTAGTGTATGCACGTAGTAGAATTAGATTAAAAAATATGTACATAATTAGTAATTATCTACTTCTTGACATTAATGATATGCAGTTACATGCACTATTTGAATATCATTGCATACAAGCACGTAATCCAAATTTTTTCTAATGAAAATTATTACGAAAAGCATATTCAAATTAATTTGACTCAGATAGGTAACGCAAATGCGTAATAACACGTAGAAATTTGGAGATACTACAGCGGCTTAGTGTATGCGGCACAAACGGACATGAATATTCAACTTCAGCGACTGATTAGAACATTTAAAACTTTTACGATTGCATCAGATAAACTGGTTTTGCGATAGAATGGTGCATGAATTGGCTTCATCCTGACATATGTAAATGTAAAAGCTACGAGAACATAAATCCAAGCTCCTTAATCTAGACCTCTTAACTTGTCATTCATTTTTGGGGAACACAAACTTGGTGAATCATAGCTAAAATAATACTGAAACACCATACAAAACGATTATTTCACATCAATGAAATAAATAGAAAAATACAACTCAAATTATTGGCGAAGATACTATGATATTTCATCGACTGGAAACAGTAGGAAGTGTGTATGTGAGGTATGATGTCCAAGACAAGTCAGGCTCATGTATACAAAAACAACTGTTTAGTGATTGGGATTGAATTTGTTTACAGGCAACAAAATATTAAAATAATTAGGCAGATAAGAAATGTGATATAACATACATGATGAATCCAAAACGCATCCATGGTTTTGAAGAGTAGGAATCGGAGGCAATCGTGAGGTGTCATTTTGTGACAGATAGCCCGCTGCTGCAACTTGCGCAGCAGCCAGCTGAGCTTGTTGACTTCGAAGAATGAGTGTCAACAAAAGAGCTTGTTGCTGCTGTTGAAAATTAGTATTTGAAACGTTTGTATGATCATGAGTTAGAGGTTGATGAGCTGCTGCTAAAGCTGTAGCGGTGGCTAAGGTGGGGGGTGGTATATATGACGAATACAAGCCAGGTCCCGATAACTGTTGACTGGTTACTGTAGGTAACTGAATCCGTAACAACTGATGAGACTGAAGTTGTTGTTGCTGTTGTATCAAAAAGTTATTAAGCGCTAATGCTGCAGCTGCTGAAGCCATTGAAGTGGGTGCATCACAACCATTATTCATAGAATGTAGTGGTGGATATATGAATTGTGGAGCGTAGAGCGAAGCACCAGGTTGTGAAAACGGAAGACCATAAATACTTATGTTTAATGGATTTATCATATTTGTCACCTCAGGACTAACATGAGATGTTCCTATATTTGCACAAGAACTCAGTGGAGTAAACCCAGGATTGAGAGATCCACAAGTGAAAACGGTAGGGAATGAAGTTCCAGAATCAGGTATTTGACATTTCGTTTCACTATTCCGAAAAGAACTTTCCAATTTTTCGTCACCGTTACAAACGACAGTGGATTCTCTATTCTGACTTGTTCTGTCTAATGAAGATGAGGTAGACATATTTGCTCGTTTTGTAGGTAGCCAATTCTATTGCGTTGAAAAAAGTATACATACTTAGCAATCAAACGATTTTTTAAAAATACGTAACAATAAAGGTGTGAATGATAAATTCAAATCAGTAGTAAATGGCATAGCGGTCGATATCTGAGGAATACTCTTTCTTGAACTCATGGATAAATTATGCATTTAAAAGAATGATGATAAAGTCTATTTTCAGGGTACAGATTAGTGTACTTTAGAACATTGAATGAGATTTTGTACGAGGGCTAGTGGTACTACTTGGATGCCCAAAGAGTGGGACTTTAATTTGTAACTTAGTGGTTGAAAGTCAAACGCCTTGACTGCCAGGTCACAGCACTACGTTTAAAAGCAAGAAGTACATAACCAAAAAATTAATCAGTTGATTTCTTTAGATTTCGTAATCTTAAAGTCACACATATAATCATAAATACCTGTTTAGTGATTAATGGTTCCCAGTTATTATGATACCAATTTCATAAAGATAAAAATATCTTCAAAGTAGTGGAGATAAAAACCCATCAATGAGATTCACTGTTTAGTTATCTGATAGATTGATAAGATTATCCACTAACAGTCGTATGAAATCAATTTCCTTTATTACTGCAGTCATTACATAAATCATTTTATGTAATCCATTTTTGTCCTATTACATATGCCGATTATAAACAGCAGTCTATTTCGCTATTGAATGAAGCTTTGAGGATAAGCACAGGAACAGTCAATAATAATCATAAATTGTGTACACTATCTTTGATTATTCAAACTGAATAAAGAAAAACATTATTTTGTGGTATCCATTGAACTAGTAAATTTTGGGAATAGTTTTATCGATAAAGAAAACCCATTTTCTACTTATTCAGGACACATTAACTTTAAATTTAAGTCAACATCAGAGGATACTCAATTTCGGATATTTAACATAATGAGTATAAAGTATAAGGTATTCTCGATAACTAGTCACTGGAAAATAGTATTCCTTCAAAATGATTTCTAAGAAGAAATGTTATAATAAAAATTAAACACAATAACGACGGATGTACTTTGTACGTGAAATAAAAACTAATGGAAAATATCTGAAATTTCTCCAGTCATTTTACGCGAATAAGCATCACGCTATCAAGTTATCGCTTCTCGGCTCTGAGCCAAGATCATGTGTTATAGTACCTACCACGTGCGTTTATACAATATAAGCACAAGGTCAGAGACGATAACAGATAGGTAAACACTAAAGTCATCCATGTATATATATATATATATATATATATATATATATATATATATATATATATTGGTATTTCAACCCTCTGTACGGTTATAATCTCAGTATAAAATCCTCAAGTCTGTAATGATTATGTCTACCGTTTTTACAGTTTATAGAAATGGATAAATTACAGAATTCGAATAAAATGCAAACTAATAACAGCATTTATTGACTGGATCTAAATTTGAAACTCAAATAGGTCCAGGGAGGTTAGAATAAATCTTGTAATCATAACTTCGCACACTAGTTAGAAATTTAGTGGAATACTGAACAATCTGTTTAGTGAGTTCGTATGAAATATTTTTAGAAAAAAAGCATGCCACCATGCTGCAACAAAAATTGTTGCTAGGGCTAGCGAAATTAACCATGTAATCGGAATTAAAACTTTATAAAGTATATATATATTATGTATCATAATTGAAGCAAAACACTATGAAACCAAAAAAATAATCTAAACAGCATACAATGTAAAAAAGGAACAATAATTAAGTTAAACACAAAACCCAAGCACATCATAACTTTAAAGCAAAGCCAACGAACAAAAACAGCAACTAAAAATTTAAAGTAAACCACCCACATGCATTTCCAAGTCATTTTCAAAATTTCCAAGCGTAATATCAGCCTCACGTTTCATACCGGCACGAATAAGTGAGGTGAGGGGACAAGCAGCAGTATTACTGGCAACTTCAGAATAACTTGTTACAATTGAAGAAACGTAATTAGCAGCAGATGTAGTAGGAGTAGATGCAGCTACAGACCAGGTAGTTGGTGGGAGATTAGCAGCACCGGCTTGCTGCTGCTGAAGAGATTGATATTGCTGTATTTGACAATTTGAAAGAGGATTTGCCAAACATGTTACGATATTGCAATTATTAAAGCTTAGAGAGCTTGGCTGAGATAATATGGGATTAAGCACAACACAAAATGAGCAGCTCACATGCGTACACACGTAGGATCAGCGCCCATGAGTAAGCAACCAAGCGTCACCAGAGATGAATATATACATAGATATAGATATATGTTGCAAAAATAAGGAAGGAGTGGAAGTCAAATCAAGAGAGCGGAAAAATAAGAGCCACAAAATTACGATTAAAAAATTAAATAACCTTGAAGATCAAGATATATATATATATATATATATATATATTTGTTCGAAAACGAAAACAATAATTCTACCCAGGTTATAAAATATCGGTTAGTATTGTGAAATACAGAGTAATATTGATTTGATATAAAAATGGTGAGGCCATGATGACCAATCTGGGATAAGCAGATGGATATACTAACGCTTGGTGTCATGTATCACAGCAAACAAAACGATTAAAGATGTACTGAACGACTATTTTGTACATGTTTATTCCATTTAAATTATGGCAGCAAAAATGAGTTTCGCTTTTTTCTTATGTTCATCGGACACTGTTTCAATACACACAGATAGCACATTACATTTTTGCTACTGTCAATCTAGTTTATTAAACGCTGAATGCTCAAACTTTTTTGAAAACATATACAGCTTCAGTAACTAAAAGCTGCCGTTATACTAAACTTATCGAGTTTTTCGAATTATCAACCTATTCACAGCAAAAAAATGCAATTATAAATCACATAGTGATCATAGAAGTGATGTTACTAAAGCGAGAACTAAAAGATGTACATTTTGAAACAGTTCATATAAAACCAAGTTCACTAACCATGGTTGAATCTTCAAAATCATTCTTCACCTATGGTGAGCTCATAGAACAAGTATAGAAAATTCTAAAGCCGATCCAATCAGTTAGTCACCAATAACGAATGATACAACTTGTTTACTTTACTTAAGGAAATTAAGCATGCATAAATTAAATAGTGTACGGTAAATGTTTTCATTCTCCGGTTACATTAAATGAAATTGAGTTAAACTATTCCCTGCCACACTAATAAATATATAGATATGTTGTGCCTTATTTTTAAGGTGATTATCTTACTAACCGAAATTCTCTTAAGACCATATTTACATTCAACTAGATGATTCTTACCTAAGTCTTTTTTCGCTCTATAAAGCAATTTAATTTAACTAAGAGAATTATCTACTAAATAATCTCAAAGTTTAATGTATAAAAAAAGAAATTGCTGGACAAGAAACTATTTTAAAACAATAGATTGGAGTAGTAAATGTATTTATTCACTAACCGTAACTTTTGATAACAACCCTCCCAGAATCCACCGTCAAAATGAATAAGCAATTAAATATGCAAGCAAATGCAAATACTATGCTTTTCAAGCTGTTACAACATTGAACAAGTATGAACAATGAATTAAATCGAAGCGACATCAAGGAATACGAGCAATTAACATAATATCAATGTAAATATGAACATCTATTAACCATAAAGTATCTATGCTAAAAAGTATAACTCACCTCGGAAACAACAGCAGATGTATCATTATTGATTGTTGATTTAGAAATAACTGAATCATGAGGAAATATTGAACTTGAAGATAGTGTAGACGATGTTGGTAACACACCAGCACCTTGATTTGCCTGTTGTATGACAGCTGCCGCTGCTAATAAAGCCGATGCACTAAGGGATGCTGGATCAGGAACAGAATTTAGAGGTGTTAAATATGTCCCATAAACTGACCCCCCGACAGACGGCTGAAGTAATGTGGTAGGTGGCCATCTAAAACTTGAAGGGCAACTAGCTGCTGAACTGAGAGTCGGTAAACCAGTCGGTAGCGTTTGTTGCAGCGGTTGCATTGGAACGAGACTGGAAGTCTAATTGGGATAGTGTAAAATGAATCTGATTAAATGTTTAGAGTTTAACATTTCATATTTCATTGTCCAAACTGACGAAAATTAAAGATATTCCCAATGACTAAACAATTCCCTTCTAAAAAGTACTAGCTGACGGTCCAAGTTGACAGTAGTGACACGAGCTGTTACAGAGCAATTTATGAAGTTACCACGTCATTCATCATAAAGAAATAGTTTCGTTTATAGTAAGTAGAGCTGAGTTGAAAACATTGTTAAGCTGGTTGCATACACTCACAAACATATGCCGCGCACCCACACAACATATTATAAATTTCAGCACTGAATGCTATAAAATAACCATTGGTTCATAACATAATATTATTACTGTATCGTGACTGTTGACGTTGCACACCTTTATACGTAAAAAACAACCTGGTAAATAGTTATGCACTTCTAACATACATACACAACATATGAACGTACAAACGCGCACACAAAGTAAACAGAAATAATGGTTAAAAATCTGAATACGCAAAAAGGGGGTGATATGGATTGGATGCAAACAGATAGACAGGCAGAGTTAGTCTACCATAGATGTCAATGATTCATTTGTCATTTAAGGTCAGACTGGTACTGCTCATTTAGAAAAAAAAATGAACAGAGTGGTAACGGAACAGGATACGGAACGGTCTATGTAAACATACATGCTATCTCAAGCCGTATCTCTAAGAAAGCCAATATCAAGATAATTAACAAGAGTAAATTTGGCGCAAAAATAAAAAGTATTTATATGGTAAATAGATGGCTGTGACATTCACATAGAACGATCACAAACCTTGATACCAATATTTATAGTGTAGAATTTGATTGTATCGAACGCTCAAGCTTTATCGCTAAAGGTTTACAGATTAAATAGAAAAATATTAATATCACTTAAAAACATTTCAGTGGCCGCACCGTTATAGGTAGTGAACCAACAAATATGTAAGCATTAAATAAACATTTTGTGAAACCAGCGAGTACAAAAAGTCTCTGGTACATACAAAATTTTTTTTATCAGTGTACTTACTTTTAAATCGGACAAACGTTGTTGGCTTTCCAATAGTTTCTTCTGTTCATCGCCACGTCTAATAATAGCTTCGATCTGGTGTGGGGGCGGATGGTAATATTTACAGTAAGAAAATTTGCAGAGTTTTCTCTAAAAGGAAAAATTGAAGACTTTATGAACCAATTACTAGAGAAATAGTATACTTTAAATACTGGTGTGAAATAACGTATACGTATGATGATGAATCCAATTGATGGTAGTATTTACGACATGTTACCAATTCTTAAAACCATACAGATAATCGTTATCTAAGTAGACTATATCTTATGTTATGTGGAGAAATTCCAGTGATTTAATCGTCTACCGGACATTGTTCTCCCTCGATTACGGAGCTAAATCAATTGTCATGAATACTTTCAAGATTACAAAAATTTGTGCTAATATACCCACAACACAACTGGTGGAAGTACCGCAGAAATAATACAAGTTCACAACTGAAAACAGTATATTATAAGATTGAGATACGGATACACTCACTTTAATAAAGTCGTAACAAACTGTTACATAGCCGTTTTCTACTCGAACCGTTACAGGTGGATGAGCGTAAGGACATGTACTTCCCAAAATACTGCAATGAAAACTTGGTTCATTTTCATTTTCGCAATTTGTAGTAGATGAGCACTTAATTTTAGTACTAGTGTCTTCTAACTTTAAAGAACATTTATTCTCACTGTTTATGAACTCTTTCTCAGATTTGATAGCATTATTTTGCAAAGGTGAGGTAGATATTTCTGAAACTGATGTACATACACGTAGCTTAAGCCAACGTGAGTCTCTAGATCCAGATGAAACATGGTTTGAGTGTATAGATACAGGAGATGTCGGAAATTGTTGATTAGTTAAACCATTGGAGGTAGAATGTAAAGAAATTAAAGATGATGATAATGATGACGATCCTGATAAGTTAGAGCTGTTTATGTTCCCGAAGTTAGAAGTGTGCTGATGAGCTTGCACTTGTGATGCCGGTTGGAAAAAAAACGGGGTAGATGTAGACCCAGGAATATGATTTGTGTTAGCGAAGCTTGCGATTGATAGTAATGGCTTTGTGAAGAATGGTATCGCAGACTCCAAAACTGTGAGGTCTGGTTTGAAACATTCATTAGATTTCGAAGTAGTAGTCGAAGAACAAGTACTTGAAAAGGGATTTGAAAGTGGAGAATGCCTTCCAGGAAAAAATGAACGGATAAAAAACGGTATGCAGTTAGCGAAATCTTCAACTACAGAAGAAATATTTGAAAAATATGCTAATAATAACGCGAGAATAGTCGGAATTTATTATCATTCAGTCAGTCAATCAGCAACAACATAGCACTTCGTACGTACGCAAATCAGTTTTATTTGCCATACCCCAGAACAGAGACGCAATGGTCAACTCAAATCCCTTAGTTGTAGAGGTATTAGCAGTAATCAAAAAGATAAGGGATTAAAGATATTATTCAAGAAGAACTATCTATTGAAGTAAACTTAAAAAGATAAAGGTGGTGAAGAACCCAAAGGATTAGAATTTGAGAGAAACCAAAGAATGGATGCATCTGCAAACAGTTTTGAGCCATGTTGTTCAAGGTCTCAAACCATCGATTACTATCGTCTCGCGTACCCCAATCAGGTAGTCTACACTCACCAACATGACTCAACCCAGTTATCAGGGACTTGATGGATTTGTGCCATGTTTTGGTGTTGCTCCCCTAACTCTCTTCCAGAGCACCCTCACACCAGGCAGTCGATGGTTGGTCATTTGTAACACATGTCGCAACCACCTCAATTGAGGTCCAACTACCCCACCTACTGATCTGCCATCTTTACCCAGTACCCTTTTCCTAATACCGGAAGTTCTTACTCGGTGGTCGAAGGATATACAAGCAATGCTTCGAAGACACCGATGACCAAATACTCGTAACCAGCATACATTCTTCATTCTTAGTGGCCATGCTTTACACCGGTATAATAGGACATTTTATTAACTTCGATAATGAGTCACACACTACATTAACCAGAGATTAATGAAGTCCCGACCGTAGCTGCTACCTTGACGTGGTGGTCGGGCTTGCCTATCGTGATGACCCAACCGAGCTATATTGGCTGGAACATATGTTCCTGCAGGTCCTACCATGCCAGGCTGGTCGATTGGAGAACGATGAGACTAAAAGCAGCTACCCAAGGTCTGAGGGGCGAAGTCGTACTGCTGACTGCAGAGGGGTGTGACAGCAGTAAGGTGTTTCCCTCGGACAACCAGCATCTGCAGCGATGCTGCCTTCTCACAAGGAAGGAAGGGTTAGAAAAGGTCGACCCTAAAAATGTCACACCTCCCCTACCTCACGGATTTCCGTCTCCATCGGTAAGGGTGCCCACTAAGGGCTTTCAAGAGTGGAGTTAATACTCAAAAAACGTTTCATAAAAAGGCCATGCGTGACCGGACTCAAGCAGTTGTCCCTTGGACCCTGCGGTCACGCACCAACACTAATCTATCTTCCTTTTCAGGTTCCTCAAGAAACAACCTTCCACGGTGTGGGCAACCGGGAAGTGACGACCGGCCTCATACCCGTAACAGCACGAGAGACCAAATCGGTCAAAATCAAATCCTTCCTACACCCCCTAGTACCTCTTTTATCTCCACGACTAACTCTTCTCACATTCATTTATCACAGTGCACAGCTAATGCAGACGATACGAGTTCGCGAAACGTCGTTCCTGGTCTCCTTAAACCCCGCTCTAGACTACATGTTGGAGCATTTAATGTACGGAGTGGTATGGCGACATGAACTGATGTACTTACGTACGAAGTTCTACGTTGCAACTGACTGACTGAATAATGAAGTAGATGCTTTTAATTTTCATTCCGGTTATCTTGTAACTAATCTTAATTCTGTATATAATTCCGAACTTAAGATAGATAGTTTTAATTTTGATTCTGGTGACAGACTTGTTGATAATGACTAGATGATTCTGAATTTCAGATAGCTAAAAATAAAAATCCGGAATACTGAAAAGTTAAGGAGATCGAGCAAAATTGCAGAAAAACAAAGACTACATTATAAATACCTTGACAGGCATCCAACATTTAGAGGGTGTGGTAAATAGCCAATACGTTTATTATACAACTAAAAATTGTCTAAATCTAATAATACAATACCAATTTATGCTGTGTTTCGAATCCGAGTTCTCCCTGGTGTCTTGTTGAGGTTCGAATTAAGTTGGAATTATTCGCATCGTGTTAGATTATTTCTAATGCACAATCTGTTATCGAATAAAAGCTGTTTTTAGTGTTAATGATGCATAGGTAGGTTAATAGGTCGAAAATCCCGGTTCTAGATAACACGAATTCAGAATCGAGAGATATTTTGTTTCCTTAAAATAGTAGATATGTCTAGTTGATGAGTGTAAACCAGCAGGAAACGTGAGTATTAGGTTTTCGATCAACATAATTAATGGGTATTAAAAACATCTTAACATCTCCATTTGTACAAATCGCATAAAAATGTAGTTCATCACTGTTACCTATGTACTTAATGAACATTTTGTCAAACAAGCATTACTGTCCGTCATTGGGTTTGAGTCACAGATAGACTTTAAATATCCTGATACGGTCGAGAGTCGGGAAAGAGAATTTCCTCTTGTAATACTTTCATATGGCAACGCACACATCACGACTGTCACGGAAGTCCTACCCACTACCTTCTCGTGGTGGGAATATTTTTAACGAAATGAGACAGTTCCCGGAGAAAGACCCGAGCTGGTGGGTACAGAGAAACTACTGAGGGAAGTTAGGAAACCCTGATTGTAAATAAGTGGTGCATATTGGCCCTAGGATCCTGAAGAAATAGCTGGACCGAAGGCTCAGGGAGCGGTCCCCTAGAAAAACCACCTGCTTCGGTTTGGAAACCAGGACAGTATCCAAGTTCACAAACACGTTCAATAACTTACGTGGCGCATATATGTTGTTGTGCCTCTTCATATCAATGTTGTTTAAATAGTGAAATAACAACAATACACAAAGATGGTTCATCTGAAGGATTTCAAAGATACATGAATAACCGACGGTTAATATGTAGATACTGCACGATAGGAATTAAACCCACTAAAAGCTTACATAGTAACAGACCAAAAGCAGGATATGAGCGCAAACGTTAACAGCTAGGAAATGCAAATGATTTATTATTAATAATACTGAAACCGTCAAAGCATGAAAATCAGCTGTCAAACTAAGCAAAGTTTCAGGCATACTAAACTAATCTCCTTACAAAAACCACGGAATCTGGCCGGACAAACCAGAAATTAAGCCAAGATATAGAAGTTTAGTATGAAAATCGACTAAACGGTTGACTACAACCAGCAATCATATTTTAACATCAAGACCAAAGCATCTCAGATTTCTCTATACTAATCTGAGGTTAGAAACTGCATAAGGATGTGTGCTCCGTGATGAGACCGAAATTAATTTACTGTAAAATGAGAAGTGATTTTCCCTTGATATTCAATCTCAACCAACTAGAAATATATTTCGAAGTCACAAATTACTTACTGAGTTCTGACTTCTCTATAAAACATTACGAACCACTGCATTTATGGCATTGTTTTGCAGAAATTAGTATCAGTAAATTCCAGTAGAATCCACATTTTTGGTTGTCTTTATGTATCTCGAGGGTGTTTCCATCATTTATTACTTATTTCTTATGAAAGCAAAAGTATCCTGTCTGGTAGAATTTGGGAAAATAAAACATTCGTTCTCTGGTTTCACTCGACCCACTATGCTTGATGTTACTATATACACGGAATACATATATGCTTGCTTCCTAACATATATATATATATATATATATATATATATATATATATATATATATATAATACATCTTTTCCGCCATGGAACGATAAAGTTTGTGCAAGCAAAGTAAGAATCTTCATCATGTAAGAATCGTGATGAATTACTTGCCAGATTATTACTGTTCTCCGTTAGTTATTCAAGAGATGAAATATTCATCCCAAAAATGAATGTAAATCGAAATTTTTTTGTTGTTTCAAGAAAGAACAAAAATCCGTATAAACAGGAATTTCGTCATAAAAACAAAATCATAAGCAATAACTCTGAATAATTTGACTCACAACATGTGTACGGTACGATTATCAAATATCCTTCAAGTAATTTGGTTCAATAAAGCCATACAAAGATCATGGCTGGACAACAACAATTCCAACTTCGCCTGATAAAATGTACCATTTACTTACACGGTTATGTCAAACAAAAAAATGTTTATTCTCAATGCGGCCTTCATGGGGCCTGACCCGGTGTTTGATTGGACAAGAAAAATGGTACAGCATGTAGCACAGAATGACCCATAGAGATCCAGACATATCACGACCTTTCTGATTGGCTAATCATTCATTAGACGAACTCTCTAGCCCTCAATGTCATTCATCTATTCTTGGCTTGACTGTTATTGAGTGAAAAGTCGTCCCCCTATGTTATTAACTTCACTTGAAATTTTTAATGTGTAAATCAGACACAATTTTTCTTCTCTCCCTCAAAGCCATTTGTATGTACAGACCTTAATGAAATCAGCATCCTAATACGATAGTTCTATTTGATTGGTTATCTAAACCTGGTCACTGAAATAGGCATAAATGTGATAGAACCATTCATTTCATCACGTGCAGAATAATGAGATGATGAGTCTGATTCATGATATACTAGTGTAACTCTCTCACTGTCTTACTTAGCGATCCCTATTTATGACGTAATTTAGTGAATTATGTCATAGGATCAAGAAAACCCACCGAGTGTGATCCTAGTTCTCTGAAAGATTCTGAACATAATATTTTTAAGAATATAGGTTAGATTAACTGACTGAAAGTAAAAGATGTATATTTATTCTCTTCATAGCTTATCTTTACTTACTAAGTAGTACAGATACAAATGTAAACAGATTCCAAAATTTTAATCGCTTCATCAAATATCAGACAGCTTCAAGCAAGTCACAATAATCAAATAAGCATATTTATTGTTTTGATAAATAATTTTACAGTTATACCGGAGGAGAAGTATGTGTTAAGGCCTCAAAATAGACTTGGTTCGGAGTCAAACTATAGTCTACTGAGTCATGATAATTTACAATAAATATACATAAGAATAATAGTTTCTTGACTCATTTTTCAACTGTCTGCTCATAAATCCACAGTTCGCAGCCGTAGAAAGAAATTGATAATGCAATGTTATGTACAAATCAATCTTCATTCCCCTTAGAAGATTTAACATAATTCAAATATCACTGAAATCCCTAAGTGATAAAAAATGACACAAGCATTTAAAATCAGAAAACACTGGAGAGCTGTTTCGTCCTAGTACGGGACTTAAACTGCGTAAATTGCTTGGAATGAAAGTAAAGTATGAAATAAATCCTATTAATTGCAACAAACGAATCGCTTAGAAAGTAACGTGTTCTAATATTTCAGCATCTGATCAAGTTATTCAATGAAACCATATTACACTTAATAATCTCCATAAACTTCAAACACTAACTCAAGAAATGTCTGGACAGTTAATCTAAATTAAAGTCACTGCTGTTAAAAAAGTTTATCTTTTAATTTGGGAAACCACTAGTCAGTTCTATCCAAAGTTTAGTTACAAATCCATCACTTCTTCCCATTCATTCAATTCATTTTCGATTTGGATTGAGAAAAGTAAACCTGACTGGTCAGCGAATTTACTAATCAAATTCTAAGTGCTGATTCACATTGATCTTTCTGTTTTTCAAATTATTTTTTCTTTCAATCTAACTATCGTAATCAATCGGGTTTCCTTCCAGTTGGTATCACATATATAATCTTGTCAACATACCTTGAACATATAATTTGCTGATTATCAAAAATTTACATCACGAGTTGAATATCAAGATTAAAACCGTGGTTTCTGCTATACTATGAGAGCTGGTAGCTTTCTCTAGATTACTTTCATTTACAGTACTGATCTCGATGATCTATTCGTACGTTAAAATGAACACAGATTAATTATGGAAATCGTCTGTTAGTTTAAAGAGATGTTGACTTGATTCCCATTTAACGATACATAATTTATCATCACATCAGATTGTTTGTTCCTTACTAATGAACAAACAGACAGATACAACGCAGAATTTCGTACGTAAGTACATCAGTTCAGATTGCCATGCCCCATCAGCACAGAGACGCAACTGTCAAGTCAACCAACAGTGATAGCAATAATAGAAGTATTAGCAGTAATGGAGAAGATTAGGAAGAGAAGATATGATATGATTCGAGAAGTATAATTCAGTAAGATAAATTTAGAAGCAGAAAGGTAGAGATTATGTGGAATGCCGAAGCTCAGAATTTCATAGAACACAAAGAGTCGATACACCTGCGCTATTGCAAACGATTCTGAACCATGTCATTCAAGGTCTCTAACCATCGATTATTATCATCTCGCGGACCCCAACCAGATAGCCTACATCTACCAACTTGACTCAGTCCACTTGTCAGTGACTTGATGGATTTGTGCCATGTTTTGGTCTGGCCGCCCCTAACTTTCTTCCAACCTACGCCTACACCACAAAACATAGCTCGTCGAGACAGTCGGTGGTTAGGCATACGCAACACATGTCCCAACCACCTCGACTGATGAAGTTTCACTACTTCATCTATTGATCTTCCATTCTTACCTAGAACTGGTTTCCTAACGACAGTATTGCTTATACGGTTGTCCTATGATACACGAGCAATGCTTCGGATACACCTATGATCGAATACTAGTAACCTATGAATGGCCTCTACTCTAAACGGCCATGTTTCACATCCGTATAGTAGGACAGAGCGAACTGCTGCACAGTACACTCGTCCTTTGGTTAGCAAACGGATATCTCGCCTGCACTATAGGTAACGCAGGTTGGCAAAAGCCAATCGAGCTGAGATTACGTCAGTCGCCAGGCCATCAGCACTGATGAAACTCCCCAGATAAGTAAACCGGTCTACACGCTCGACTACTTCACTCCCTATCACTAGTTCAGGTGCCGATGCAACCCAATCTTGAAGCAACATTTTGCATTTCGACGGGGAGAACCGCATCCCGAACATACTTGCATTGTTGCTTAGGGTGGTCAGAAGACTCTGCATTTTGTCAGCGTCTTCACCAAGTAGGACTATGTCATCGACATATTCTAAGTCAATAAGCGAGCCACCTGGTAAAAGGTCTACTCCTGAAAATTCAGACGAGGATAAGGTTATATCTAGGAGCATGTCTATGATAAAATTAAACAAGAATGGAGAAAGTGGACAGCCCTGACGGACACCACTTGAAGTAGAGAATTCCAATGACAGTTCGCCATAAGCTCTCACTCGATCAGTGGTGTTCGAGCAGAAAGCTTGTATGAGGTTAATGTACTTCTTTGGTACACCTTTCAATGACAGACACTGCCACAGAGTCAAATGCCGCTTTTAGGTCCAGGAACATAACTATTGTAGGACACCTAAATGTGTGTCTGTGTTCCAGGAATTGTCGTACTGTGAAAATGTGGTCTATACAACCACGTCCAGCCACGTCGTTTGCATTAGCGGTGCAGTGAGCTGAAGGAATGAGACTAGATTTAGTCGTAGAGATAAGAGAGATATTAAGGGGGTGTAAGAAGGATTTGATTTTGATCAATTTGCTCTCATGTGCTGTTACGGGTATGAGGGCGGTTGTCACTTCCCGGCTGCCCACACCATGGAAGGTTGTTTCTTGAGGAACCTGAAAAGGAAGGTATATTAGCGTTGGTCTTAGAGACCTGGAAGAGTGACCGCAGAGCCGGTCACGCACTGCCTTTTGATGAAACGTATTTTGGTATTAGCTCCGCTCTTGAAGTTGTCGTATTCGATAATATTTCACAAATCATTGTAATACTGGTAGGTTAATAACTTAAAAGCGAAAAGTAATAAGTCCCATAAAGTTCAGCATGAAAGCTTTCTGAAGAATCCTAGCGAAAATGGATATTAAACTTCAAATTTATTATGCCTGAATAGTTCGTCAGTACATGATACAAACCTAACCCAAAAAACAAAATCTATTTCTGTGGAAAAGTGAGATTTTAAGTTTCATCTTAAAAATAGTTTTACTTATCTAACCATTTTCCATTCCAATGAATATGTAAAAGATAATTTAACATTAAAGTATTTACCATTATAATATTAATAGTATTAAGAACTGAGAAATTACAAAATACAGAGTATATGTAATTCAGATACGGTATTTTCTATTCACCAATCATTGATTTACAATGCTACTGTGGTACTTATACAAATGAAAGAGAAATCAATAATCATAATCATAACAACAATACCCCACACCAATTATTTTAATTTATAAATTAGTCAATGCCAAGTATCTCTAATTCATTAACATTTTCAAAAAAGTATGACTACTATTGTAATCATATGCTGTTCTATTCATTGCTAATAAATTATAATTATTTCTCTGTTATTATTTATTATTTATATCCGTTTTACATGTTTTACATAGTAAATGTTTGAGTAGAGTAAACTTTTAAAAGAGCCAGTAAAATTTGTATTTTTCTGTTGTTGATATTCAGACCTCCATATAATCAAACTCTTCAAGGCAATTACATCCCCCTAACAGATGCCAGGATTGTGCCTACATACACACTACTTTGGCACATTTTAGAATTGGGCTAGTAGTGAAATCTAATCGGTGCTTTTTTTTCTCCTGCATATTTAACGGGCTTCCTAATAAGAAGTACCACAGTTATATTTACTGACGGTCTGAAATGTATAAACAATCGGTGATAAATGTCTATTATATCAAAATGTAATTGATAATTTACACAGACTAGAAATTTGAGTGTTTTTTTGAATCAAAAGTAACCAAATTTATGAGGAAACAACATTAGGAACAGGTTATGTAAACATATAAGTAAATAGTCATGATAATAATTATTATTATGGTGATTACTATCATAGCTACTTTGTACGGTTCGAGGTTATTGATACGTTTTCGTCAATAGTAATGCTTTATTTTCTGTTTAGAAAAGCAAGGTATTGATATTTAACCAGGTAACTCTTCTATAGTTTAACTTCTTTCTAGTCTTGAATGCAGCCCAACTAACCTGATTACTATTCATAAAAACAAAGTATTCATGTTCATTAAAGTTGTTTTTCAACTACAAAAAAAATCCAAACTTAAAACACATTGGTCAGTGACCTAAAACATGAAAATCACAATAAAAGTACAACCATGATGAGAAAAGTACGTAACTGAATAAATGTAAACAAATATTTGCACGA